AAAAAAAAAAAAAAAAAAAAAAAAAAAAAAAAAAAAAAAAAAAAAAAAATTCGACAAAGGCAGGGTTCGAACCTGCGCCTCCGAAGAGAACAGATGTATTGTAGTCTGAGATAGACACAATTCACTTTAATGGATTAGTATAATGGTAATAGAGACTGAGAATCGGGATAGCTCACAGTCTGTCGCCTTAGACCACTCGGCCACTTTGCCGGGATTTGGGGTTGAAACTCCTATTTACCTTAAGACATACAATATAGATTACAGAACAAATGTCTTCCTCAATTTGGGGTAGACGTTTTCTTGACGCACTTGGGCCGAGAGGTAATTGACCTGTTGGATAATGAGGATTCTGTATGTTTCTGACATGCTGTAAAATATAGGTACTAGGAAGGCGCATTAGCAGCGTCGCTTTTATGGAGCGGGAGGCAACATGACACTGCACCAGGTTATAGGACGCACGTAGGCGACCTATACCAACTGGCATATTGCATTGAATAATAGAACTCTTCCCTGCCGAGATGCTTAAAGAAGCGGACATGCTCGCTCTTGATCTCCTGCCAGATGGGCACTTCCTGCTAGTAGTTCGTATTCAACTGGATTAGGCATTGCTCAAGCCGTTTAATCTTTCCCTCCCCAAATACGAGGGATAAGTTGATGTTCTCGGCCCCGCGAAATATGAGTGAACCTATAAATAGACTCTGAAATATCCAGATGTCTGGGAAGATCAGCGGGCCTAGTGTTCCCCAGGTTGATTCTGGCAGGCAATCGTGGTCATTAGGAGCGAGAACACGGATTAAAGCGATGCTGCAATTAAATAGAATTTATCATTGACTGCAAATAGTTTGACACTGTCTTGTCTCTGAGTATAACCGGAGCCATGCCTGATAAGGTTTGGTTTGCTTCAGCAATGTAAGTAACTTGGTATGGATTCGATGGCACTTTGCTACGGAAGTGTTAGAGAACACCTTGGTGGATATTTGCTCCCAGGGTCCTTCTGGCAAGGCTGGTGGATTGGTGGTGCATGCTTCCCCGCAAGTAGCACTGATTTACGCTTGTCATGTCCAGATGTCAGATCTAGTCTAGATGTCAGGGCACCTTGGTGGACATTTTGCTCAATCCCTGCACGTAGCCCAGATTTAAAGCCGTCATGTTCTCTACTGTTCTGCAATGATAAATGAATTAACTCTTTCTTTTATCTGCGAGATCTTCAGAATAACAAACCGATCCCAACAACAGCTAATAACAAATCGAGCAGCCATGTCTTTCTCCTCTGACCCTCCCGCTGCAGGTACCACTGCAGAACATTTTGACAGTCAGCGCCTCATACGAACGTGTCACTGGCAGTTGTACACGCGAGGTTGCATAGTTCCTGCTCAATCTCCAACCAACCGTGGACGCATCATCAGCTGTGCTCGACAATGCCTGCGGTACTGGAATCATCACTGAAGAGATTCTTGAACGCTTTCCCACATCTTCCAAGCCAAAGGTCTATGCCGCTGACCTCACGCCTTCAATGGTTTCGAGCCTCTCCACCAAGGCGGAGAGTAAGGGCTGGGTGAATGGCGAAGACGGTCTCGTGGAAGCATCAGTCATGGATGCAAAGGAGCTGACCTTCCCCTACAACATGTTCACTCACTCCTACACGGACCTGGGGATTCTCTTCTTTAAAAACCCGGAGAAGGGGCCCTCGCAGATCTACCGCACTCTGCAGCCCGGCGGGACAGCTTTTTTACAACCTGGTCGAAGTTGGGGTACTTGTCGCCTGTGCGCAAGGCGCAGAAAGCTGTGCGGCCCGACAGCACTCCTTGGGAATTACCGATAGGCGAGGCATGCTTTACGGAAGAGAAACTTCGACAGGTCCTAAAATCTGGGGGTTTTGAGGCTGGAAAGGTTCAAAGTCAGACCCGGACAGTCGCATATCGAGGGAAGGACCTGAATGACTTGGTTGATATCATGGTGGCTGCATTCTCCTCAGCGATAACCGGAGGCTAGAGCGAAGAAGACCGAGCAAAGTTGCCTGCTGCGCTCCGTGAAAGCTTGAGAGCGTTGAGAAGGCAAATGCGAGCATTGAGATGGTGGCTTATGTCGCGGTCGCAAGAGAATAGCACATGCCGAGGTATGTACTAAACAGTTGTTCAGTTTCAGCAATGTAAGTAAATTGGTCTGGATGTGTTTTATTATGTAAGGTGCCAGAAACTTCTTATTCACTAGTCAACTCATCTCGTAATACTTCTCGTATAGTAGTAGGATGTGATTTGATATCCAAAGCCACCAAGATAAGCAATTCGGATCTGGACTGCGACCAGTGACTCGTAAAGAATTGGCCTTGGAGCTGATTATGGGATCACGAAAAGTGGAAATAAGTAGATAAAAAGCCGATGACAACCCCATACAAAAGAAAGGATCATCAAGGTTTAGAACATTGTACACGCAATTTCGCGATTCCTGCATTCAGCCATTTTATTTAACCTCTCATAATGGATCCTCCTGCTTTAGACCTCCTGGTCTGTTCCACCTGCGGCGTCCAGTATGATGCCACGTCCGGGTTGAAATCCTGCAAGATCTGCGATGATCCACGACAATACGTTCCTCCATCGGGGTAATTCTCACTTCCCTTTCACAGTTGCAGGTTCGAAGTAAGGGAGCCTTTGTACTGATCGATGGAATAGACAATCCTGGACAACACTGCGCTCTCTTCAAGCGTCACCTGCAAAGTATCGCAATGTCTTCACCACCGACCCCGAGAACCCCAACCTTATCAGCATCCAAACGGCCCCGAAATTCGCCATTGGTCAACGAGCATATCTCTGCCTTGATGGATCTGGCTCCGGCAATGTTCTTTGGGATTGTATCACATATCTTGATGACGAAACGATCCGGCATATTAATTCTCTAGGAGGAATCCGGGCCATTGTCATCTCGCACCCGCACTACTTTTCCACCAGCATCCAGTGGGCTGATGCTTTCAATTGTGATTTATACATCTCTGCGGAAGATGAAGAATGGGTCGCCAATAGAGGCGATGGACGCCGGTTGAAGTTGTGGGAGGGGAAGAGACTCTCTCTTCCAAGCCATCGACTCGGCTCACTCCAACCGGATGAGACCTCTGATTTCGTCGCTATCAAGACCGGAGGCCATTTCCCTGGAAGTTCAGTTCTGTGGTGGAAATCAGCCAAGAAACTGCTCATTGCGGATACCATTATGATTGTTCCCAGTGGACTTTACCGCGTGGACCGGCCCGCTGGTACTGTTTCTTATGCGTTCATGTGGTCGTATCCTAACTATGTAAGTGTTCATTGTCCCTGACACTGCCAATAAGCTAACCAGCTAGATTCCACTTCCTCCGGATGATGTCCATGGTATTTGGAAAGCAATCGAGGATATTGATTTCGAGGACACGCATGGTGCCTTTACTGGGCAGGATTCTAGGGGTAACAGTAAATCGAGGATCTTGGAGAGCGCAAAGATTATCATCAGGGCCTCGGGGTATTCGGAACATGCTATATTCCAGGAGTGAAAGAGCCAAGTTCGCACTCGGCTTCTGAAGGCAAAGTTGTATATAGCCTAGGTTGTTTAAACGCAAGGTAAGAAAAGAACTACTAAATGAACCACATATGCTGTTTGCATGAGTGCCACAGTGCAGTTACTGTAGTACAAGAAACTTCATGCCGTTGTCCTTAGAGGTGAGGGATATCTGGCACAGTGATCGACTCTAGTGTAAACCCAAGGCTCAATGTTGACTGAGGATAGATCCCTGTAATTTGCTCTCTGAATAAATACTATGCGATTCTTGCCATATCCGGACTAGAGACCCTATGTACTGCTGCCTAGTGATTTTGCATCCAAGCAACATTGAGCCCTTGGAGATCCAATGTACTCCTGAACCAAATGCTATGCAAAGCAAAGCTGGGCACAGCGCTATTTTATCATATTTACCAGTCATCAGGACAAGTTGCGTGCACTACTAAATATTCATTGGATAACAACAACTCTAGGAATTTTGCGGCGCAGTGAACAACTCACCCAGCCAGGGTAGTAACAAGGCTGGGGAGAGGGCCTTTTGGGTGCTGCAAGGCTGATGTATCATGCCCTTTGTGCTTTTAAAATGCGGCCCCTTGACTCCCAACTTTCTCTTTTCTTCTACACTGCTACTTGTCTGCTCTTCAATCTCTCTTATTACAAGATACTTTATTTGAAAATCAACCATGATGTTTGATATTGCAGATGTGAAGACACGGTATGCGGATGTACGTGCTGTTGAGGATAGCAAAGATAAGATCATTCTGGTTCGTTGGCTTTGCAGAGACACCTGAAAAGGTTTATCAGATAACTTACGAAACCGATGTATAGGATCTCTTTTCTTATATTGAAGACCTTACAAAGGAACTCCAAGATGAGAGGGATGTGGTTGATAATAACAAGCGGCTTATAGCCTCATTCAAGGAAGAAAACAGGAACCTTGAGAATATGCGTGAGACTATGCGGCGTGATCAGGTGGGTTATTCATCCATCTTGTTCAATCCAAAGCTGTCCGTCTCTGACACCATTGTTCCAGGCTAAGCTGAGTTTTGTTTCCGTTTTGGTTGATGGAGATGGTATGAATGTACGCCACCTTATTTCTGATATGCCTTGATGCTCAGTATTTGACCGATTCCGCTTTATCCAGTTTCATGGAAATCTCGTCAAAGATGGGAAGCATGGCGGCTTGGAAGCTGCACGGCTCCTGATCCAGGCTGTCCAAGACCATATTCAGAAAGTTGACCCAGAAGCATCGCCAATTATCAGCTGCAAGATCCGTGTGTTTGCTAATGTTGAAGGCCTGACGGAGGCCTATCGTAATAACAACGTTCTCAGTGCTGGGGAAAGCTTGACCTCGTTTATTCAAGGCTTCAATCAGGAGAATGCATTATGTGATTTTGTGGATGCAGGAAATGGAAAGGAATGCGCTGATGTTAAGTTACGAGGTCAGTCCCTGAGCCCAAGAAGTGTATACCAACCTAACAGACTTCAATTTTTAGCACGTTTTGAGCAAGATATTAATGACGTACACTGCCGAAGGATCATCTTCTGCGCCTCTGCGGACAACAGCCACGCGCGTGTTCTCAGCGCACACCGAGGATCGAATCGCATCTCGCTGGTCAAAGGACCCCCTTTTGCCCAAGAGATGGAGGAATTAGCAGCGGGTTTCAAAACCGACTCTTTTGAGAATGTGTTCATGTCGAGTAAGCTGAAGACCACCAGAAGAGTTTCCTTCAGCGCTACAAATACCGCTATTACACCCCCGAGGACACCTACTCCCAACTACGCGTCAGCAGCGAAGGCAACTCCTCCGACGCAATCATCATCACTGGTCGTGAGTTCTCCAGCGCACAGGGTGAGCAAACTAAGGCAGTCAGTATGTGTGAATTCCAGAGGCCAACGGGTGGACCATCCCTTGCGATATTCGTCCAAGGAAAATGTAGAGACGCTGAAGCGCAGGAAACTGTGCAATCAGTTTCATCTTCTCGGATCATGCCCCTATGGCAACAACTGCACACACAAACATGGCCCATCCCTCAGTGCCACGGAGATAACCGATCTGACGCATATTGCCAGATCATCCGTCTGTCTCAATGGTATCTTTTGTCATGACGTGAACTGCGTCTGTGGACATCGTTGCCCGCAGAAGACTTGCCCGGGTGGTGGTTGTAAATTTCCCGACAGCATGCATGGAGTTGACACGAATATCGTCAAGATCATCTGATGGATGCCAGATAATTGTTTATGTTTTGCAATCTGTATCTGATCTTGCACCGAGCGAAATTCACAAAGATGAGCATACCTACATAGCTGTTTATGTTTCGGAGCAGCCCATCCGTGGTAGGCTACCGGGTTTCCCGATTCGGAGCTGTAGGGGTCCCTTGGTAATACAGGGGCAGCTGTCTGTATTGATGACGTGAACTGCTCATGAAAAACATAGAATGGAAAGTCCAGTTGCAGAAAACAACCACTCCTTCCTGAGCCTACATGGCAACGCATCGTGAGATTGGCTACATGCCACAACCACTTCAAAGGAAACGCCTGGCTCCCGAAACGGCGAAGAAGAGACCAATCGCGATTTGAGTGGGACCTCGGTCCTGAGTCCTGACGCAACCGCTGAAGATGCCATTCAGAAGGTTGCACCGCTACCTTAGGCCCAGGGTGGAGACTTGCATGAAGTACTGATTTATCAATACACTGAAATCACTTTGATACTTATGTGCTATGTTGTGTCCCTGCTGTGATGACCCTAATGTGCTATCACCTCCTAGCTAGAGTTGGTTGTCTGGTTACCTTTTTGGCTGAGTAATTTGATGTATGGCATGCTCTATCACACATCGCAGAAGTGTATCTATCATAGAGAAAGTCCGATTTTACAAATTTACCCTTAGTAACCGAGTAATCAATGCTACCGTACGATGATCAACAGACAGCCCTCTTGTTTATTCTGCTGGAAGTCAACCAATGAGATGGAATACCCCAATCATTAACTTCACTGACAGCTAATGAACCACCTCCTATACCCCATGGATGCTCTTCTAATATCTAACCAAAAAGGCAATGAGGTCTGATGAATGGCAGCAGCTATGAATACAACCAGAAACATCTTTGAATACTAGGTGAGAAGCATCAAAGCAGATCCGCCGCCCTCTCTTAGTATATCTCAAGGGCTTGAACCGATAGGGTAAGGGAACCCAATGCTACAACTCTGCAGGCCCTGTGAGTAAGTATCATGCACGATGAAGGTCTTGTTGGAATGGCATGTGACAGGGTAATGATGAGAAATACACATACTGATTCGAGATTACACCAAAACATTAATCATATCATAGAGCTTGGCACCCGTCCATTTCCACCGCCCGCCTTGATGAAAGGGTTGAACCCGGACGGTGTGACCGGTTGTTGTATCCTGAAGGCCGAATGAGATCGAGCCAGGAATCGAAGCCTGATCGGCAGTCCAGTAAAAGACACAGTACTCCCGCGCGAGATCGTAAAAGATATGGAGGAAGATGGTAACGCCATTGGTCCTAATTCTGTAGCGATTGCCCGTGTCGGCCATAAGTTGGAGTTGTCCTAAGACGCCTCGCTTGACAAGATGGGATGGGGGATCCGATTCCACTTCCGCAAGATCTAGTAACTCGGGCTCGTCGATCTGCACGGCCGGAGTAGCAACCGCAGGCGCTCTCGCTTCCGTATCTCTTGCGGAAAGAGAGAGTGGTTCACTGGTCACTGGAATAGCAGTTGCCACAACGTGGGAAAGTTGCAGAGCCCCCAGTGTGGCAGCAAGAATAAACTGGAATTGCATCTTTAGGTGGATCACTGTTAGTGACTAACAGCCATTATCATATAAGTTGGAACGGACTGAACATCCGAAGGATAGAACTAACCTTTGCGGTTTGGATCGATAGCTAGAAGGACAAGGGAAAATATATTGTACCTTTTTCGCTGGCGAGAGAAACCCATGCGAGGTTGAGTTCTATCTTATAGTTACTCAGAATTCTACTGTCATTCCAGGATGATGGCCCGTAAAATTGTTTTCAAAATTAGCTTTGAACTATTTCCTGATGTCTTGGAGCCATTAGATTAATTGTTCAACCCTAAACATCTTATCCTGTGGATGTGAGTATAATTCAAAAGAGATCTCCACTGGGGAATTGCCATTTTAGCTCTCATCGTCTCCTAACTATCATGGTTGTCCGAGGAGATGTTGTGGCCTATTCAGATTTCAACGGAGCGGGTCGAAGCCGAGTTAGCACTGAGGGGATTTTTTGAGACACTGCGAAAAAGGTGATCCTTCTCTCTCATTACTCTTCACCGAGAATTGATCAATTAGACTTTGGGAGATGAACGGAGAGGGCAAATTAGTGGTCGAGCATCTTCCAGGGCATTATCTGGAGTGTTCCGGACTCTAGCATCTAAGGCCAGCTGGTCCTGAAGGATTCCTGTAGGATCTGGATCCCAGCTGGATGTCTCGGAGGTAATCCTTTCAGGCAACAAGCTAGCATCCCATAGTACACTTAGGATATCAAGAGTCTTTTGCTGGCAAAGAGCGCGTAAATGTTGTAGGTTCAATTTCCCACGTGGCTTGATCTATATTCTTGATGTGAACTATATGGCTGACAGAAAACGGGCGTTTAGCGAGCAAAGGCTCATTGGTGGATCTACTGTGGGAAGATAGAATATTCAACTTTATCTTACTCCGAAATTTTCCCGAACCGAAGCTTGCTCAAAATAGAGTTGCATAACCGAACGGCTAAAATCGAATCCGAACCTCACCGAACCCGCAGTGGTTCGCTTTCAGTGCCTAGCATTATGCAACTCTAATTAACAACTGTATGATAGTGAAGGTAAGTGATTTTTCTTCCCCTTATAAGTTGTCCTCCCTCTGCCCGATTAGCAGAACATGTCACTCTGCCTCTGATAGCTAAAAACAATATTTGAGCCCTTTTTCAATCTTTCTTCTCTTTTTGACTTGGCTTGCCCGTCATGAAGCTCTTTGCTGTAACCGGACTTCTATTGTTTGTCGCCCTGGCCTGTCATATTCTCTCTCCGTCCAGCCGCTAATAACTTGAGGACAGCTGGTCAAGCCTTGCATACGCGCGTAATCACAATTTCTGTGCCTGCCAGACCCATACTAATGGGGGTTTGGACCTGCAAGCAACAATTTACTGTTGCGATGAGCTTCAAGGAAAAGCCAATGCTGCAATGGGTACTCTCCTTATTGCCACCTGAAGTAATCATGATTGTTGACCATTTTTTAGAGCTAATCACGAAGCCTTTTGAGGGTGGAGCGAAATTTCCTGGGTCCTATGTCAGTCCATTTCTCATATCCGAGGATCTAATCCATGCCATCTAATATGGTACTTAACAGTGCGGAAGTGAACCGGCCGGGGACGGACGCCATGCCACTACGATGTCTGGGGACTGGTGGCATAGTTGCTGTCAGCGGAAGCTGGGTGAAGGGGCCGATAGCACATGCTACTGGTAATCCAAACAGCGCTCTGCATAAAACAGGCTTCGTAGGAAGAGAAGTTCTGTCTAGGCTTTTGCTTTGTTACATGTTAGAATTTAGTGGCCTATTTTTACTCCTAGCCCAACTTTGGAGTGCAATAACTTTGTCTCCCTATAATGATCAGCGTTAATGTACACATAGACAGGGAACCCCCTTACCAATGAAAACGTATATAGTGTTAGTGCTGCTCTTTTCCATTGACTGGATCCCAGTATCAGTTTCAAGGGAAATGTTGGTGTCAGCATGAATATTAACATGGGTAAGCTTCTCAAGTTAGCCAGCATTATAAGGTGGAGAAGATCTTGGACTCATATGTCCCTAGCAAGGCAAGATGGATCTATCTCTAAGAAATACTTGTGCTAACGATGCCTCCTAGCCACACAAGATCTGAGCTGGTTTAATCTTTATCGTAAGGTGAATTTACTCAAACATTTATACCGACACATTGTACAGAAATGAACAGATTATAATATGTGGATTAGCTCTTCGGATGCTAGTAGTGGCTGGACTTGCTGTTCCAGCATTAGCTGCTGCTCCTTGTTCGCCTGATACAACACCTCCCTCCTCCTTTGGCTGACTGAATCCATGCGGTGGGCTGTTGTAAATATACTCGACCCCCACAGCTATTTAGATGTACATATGACTACAGACGAATTGTTGTTTCGCATGCATTTCCAGGATACTGTAAGCAAGTATGCGGCATCCCGTGAAAAATGCAACAGTGGATCAATAGGGTCCTATGATTTCTTAATTTGGAAGCCATTCCTGGAAAAATTGCGGCCCCTTGTAGGTCTGTTAGGAAGGAATGAAACGTTTCGCTTGGGTGCTGTAGCCATCTCGTAGGATGATATAATTCCAACATCTATTCCTACGACAACACGTCTAAGGGGAGTCCTCTTCTGCAGTATATGCTGAAACACGTTCAGCTTCACGCATTCGCCGCCATCAACGCGTAAATCTCCTGCGCGGCTTTCGGTATCTTGCCCTGTTCGCCACTCTCCTCGATATCGATCATCTCATTGGCAAAGTCGCAAAGCGTGGCCACCAAATAATCCACCTCTTCCTCCGTATTTCCAGCATGGATCATGACCCTGACGCGAGACTTGCCTTTGGGAACCTGGGGATAGTCAATGGGAACGACTGCGATTTTCGCCAGTTGCAGGTGAAAAAAGAGCCACCAGTTGTACTTTTGCCGGGTCCAGATTGGTACAATGTGCGTCACAAAGTCCAGCGACTCATAGTCCTCGGCCACGGGAATAGACAAAATACCCATATCGGCGGCTTTGTCCCAGATGTCGCTAGAGGTGATGGATTTGAAGAAGTACTTGACGAGATGTTGGATGTTGTCCTGAGCCTAGGTTTTCTTCTTGTTATTATGAGCTCTTCAGTCATTTCACCCAATTGTTGCATACCTTCTGCGTGGCACCAGTTCTCATCAGGTTATAGGCTGCGCGAATGACTGCAACCGACGGGAAGGATGGGGCTGTCGTATTCACTAGGGACCCAGCATAGTTCAACATCATGTTTCGGACCGTGGCGTTTCCAAGAACCACAGCTTCAAAACAAATACGTCAGTGATACCGCTTGAGCAAGGAGTTACTGCCAGGTCATTGATCTTACATCCAGTACAGGCCAAGGCCTTGCCGCAGGTATTCAGTCGAATTGCAACCTCATTTTCCAGACCCAGCAGCTTGACGAGACCGACACCTCTAGGACCCACGACTCCAGTGGCGTGAGCTTCGTCCGCAATGAAGGCAAAGTTCCCCTTAGGACAGATCTCTCGAGCAATCTCGAGCATCTCCGCCAGAGGGCAAACGTCTCCATCCATGCTGTACACCGACTCTACAGACACGAGGATCGAGCGTGATCCGTCCTGAAGCATGGGCTGCGAGTCCATGGTGGAGGACATGGCCTCCCGAAAGGCGTCAAGGTCATTGTGCCGGAAGGCGACCTTGGTCGTGGCCAACGAGGCGGCCATGCCTGTGTGCGTGCTGAAGTGAACCAGCTCATCGTACACAATGGCATCTCCCGGCCGTGGGATAGCCGTGTAGATGGCAATATTTCCGTTGGAGCCCGAGTTAAACATGAGAGCCGTCTCTGCCCCGAGGAAGTCGGCGATCTCCTGCTCCACCTCCTCGATATAGTCGTAGTTGCCGCCCATCACGCGAGAACCCCCGGAATGCAGCGAGAAATCGGGGTGTCTTGCCAACTCGGCCAGGAACTCCCGTCGCAGTTCTCCCGTGAGTCCGAGGGAGAGAAGATCATTGGAGCAGAAGTCTATCGCGTCTCCTGTTTTCCATGTGCTTTGTCCTCGGGTCATCAGAGATTGGGTCGACCGTCGAACATCTAGAGCCTCCTCGAGATTTCGGTAGAATGTGGGGCCATCTTTCATGCGAGGAGCGACCAGTTTCTGGCTCTTGATCCAGGAGACCATCTCCGAGACGACTTTGCCGTTAGTTGCCATAGTGGTTGAGGTTGCGGAAGTTAGTCTTCGACAGTGGTGCAGCGGCCAGCGTTGTGTCACCTAAAAGAGAAAGAAAGGAAGCTCAAGAATACATCGAGTCAATATGCCGAGTCAATTCATAAACCCATTTAAAGATCACCTAGTCCCCCATCGGCGTACCGGGCCGAAGGCGCTGCAGGTCGTCGCCAACACGGGTTCCGGGCTGCGAGCGGACGCCGGAGGGCGGGGCGGGGGGCGCATGGCCGTTGCGGAACCCAGCACATGGGAAATGCATGCCACGTTGTCGACAACGGTCATGTTAACGGTCATTTTAAACTCAAATGCAGAGATGGTCCGCCAGGGGACTGCGAAGCAAGCAACTTTTACTTCTAACTCACATCAATGACTATGGACGAAAGTAACGGCACCAATGGCCAGGGGGTAGCAATGGGTTCGACTATCATCAATGGGGCTACTCTCAACGGGCATCCCACCAATGGTGTGCATACTAACGGCACAAATGGTACTGCGACCCATGGGGTCTCTCGCAATGGTCAAGTGCCCATCGCCATCTGTGGTATGGCATGTCGTCTCCCAGGAGGCTTGACGACGCCCGACGAGCTTTGGGATTTCCTCCTCGCAAAGAAAGATGGTCGATGTCGCGTCCCTCAATCGCGCTATAACATCGACTCATACTACTCGGATACCAAGCAACCAGGAACCGTCTCGACCGAGTATGGATATTTTCTCGATGAGAGCGTCGACGTCGGAGCGTTGGATACGTCGTTCTTCTCCATGACGCGAACCGAGGTAGAGCGAGCCGACCCCCAGCAACGGCTTATGTTGGAAGTCGCACGCGAGGCTTTCGAAGATGCTGGCGTGACAAATTGGAGAGGCAAGACTATCGGCACGTATATTGGTAACTTTGGAGAAGACTGGCTGGAGATGTTTGGGAAGGAGACCCAGCCATGGGGTATACATCGCATTTCCGGTTCAGGAGATTTCGTTGTTGCAAATCGGCTCTCGTACGAGTTTGACCTGCAAGGGCCAAGGTATGATCTTCTGTTGGAAAGTTGTTCCAAATACATAGCTCTGTGCTGACACTTTTCAATAGCATGACGATTCGCACAGCTTGTTCTTCCGCCCTGGTGGCATTGAACGAGGCGTGTGCTGCTATCAATAGAGGCGACTGTGGATCCGCTCTGGTGGGCGGTGTCAATCTGATCCTCGCACCTGGAATGTCGATGGCGATGCAGGAACAGGGGGTTCTATCCAGTGACGGCTCGTGCAAGACCTTCTCCGCTGACGCTAATGGGTATGCCCGCGGAGAGGCGGTTACGGCGATTTTCATCAAGCCGTTGGCGGATGCCTTGAGAGATGGCAACCCAATTCGTGCTGTCGTGAGAGCCACATCTCACAACGCGGACGGAAAGACCCCTACGCTGTCGCAACCTAGCACGGACGCACAAGAGGCTCTAATGAGGAGAGCATACGAACTCGGGGGTATTACTGACTACGCGGAAACTGCCATGGTAGAATGCCATGGGACAGGTACGCCGACTGGGGACCCCATCGAGGCGACAGCTGTGGCCCGGGTGTTTGGAGACAAAGGCGTCTACATTGGATCGGTCAAGCCCAACCTCGGACACACCGAAGCTGCGTCCGGCCTTGTATCACTCTTGAAGATGGTGAAAGCACTCGAGCATCGCATCATCCCGCCAAATATCAAATTCACCAGCCCCAACCCGAACATTCCGTTCGCGGACGGTAAGCTGACGGTCCCTACGGATCCACTTCCGTGGCCGAAGGACAGACTCGAACGGGTCAGTGTGAATTCGTTTGGGATTGGTGGCGCAAACGCCCATGTCATTCTTGAATCTGCCGCTGCCTATAACGTCCCGGCTGCGGTTCACCAAACACCGGAGACACCGCAACTTCTGTTGTTCACGGCCAACTCGTCAAAGTCAATCACGAGGATAATCGACGACTACAAGGCATGGGTGGAACAAAATCCGGACAAAGTCAGTGATCTAGCCTACACGTTGGCAAGGAGAAGGGAACATTTGCCGCACCGGGCTTTTGCTATAGTCAGCAATGGTGTGGTTGAAAGTGTTTCGCAACCTGCAAACTCCAAGTCTGCGAAGCCGCCGAGTGTGGTTATGGTTTTCACCGGTCAGGGCGCACAATGGCCCCAGATGGGACGGGAGCTGCTGCGATCCAATGAAGTGTTCAGGTCTAGCATCCGATCTCTGGATCAACACCTGCAGACCATTGCTGGGGAGAAGCCGCAGTACTCGATCGAAGAGGAGCTCAAGAAACCAGGCAAGAAGAGCCGTCTATCACTGGCCGAGTTCTCTCAACCACTTTGCACTGCTATTCAGATTGCACTGGTCGACACGCTCAAGTCCGCGGGAATTTGCCCAGACGCAGTCGTGGGCCATTCCAGTGGCGAGATTGCTGCAGCATACGCCGCCGGGGCTCTCAGCGCTGGAGAGGCCATCACCGCGGCCCACCACCGTGGAGCAGTGACAAGCAGACAGAAGAGAGCAGGAACGATGGCGGCTATTGGAATGAGTTGGGCAGAAACGGAAAAGTACCTCGTCCCGAACGTCACGATTGCCTGTGACAACTCACCCAAGAGCGTTACAATCTCAGGCGACGTCGACGCCGTCAAATCCGTTGTTGCTGCTATCAAAGAGGCGCAGCCACAGATGCTGGCTAGACTGCTCCAGGTTGACAAAGCCTATCATTCATACCATATGAAAGAGATCGGAGAGGATTACCAGTCCTTGATCGGCGAGGAAGTGGTCGGGAGAGAACCATCGGCGCTCTTCTTCTCCAGTGTAACCGGAAGTATCCTGGGCCCCGAGCACAAACCCTGGCCCAAATACTGGCAGGACAATTTGGAATCGCCGGTCCGGTTCCGCGAGGCCGTCACGGCCATTTTGAAACACGACGTGGGAAAGAATGCAGTCTTCCTTGAGGTTGGGCCTCACGGGGCTCTCGCAGGTCCATTGAGACAGATCTTCACTCAGGCTTCTTCTCCAGCTCCCTATGTGTCGGTCATGGCGCGCAACCTCGACTGCACTGCATCTTTCTTGTCCGCCATTGGAGCGCTGCACTCACTCAATGTCGATGTCAATCTTGAGGCCCTCTTTCCCACAGGCTGCTGTCTTTCGGATCTTCCCCGGTACCCATGGAATCACGAAGGGAGCTACTGGTACGAATCTCGTCTCAGCAAGGAGTGGCGCAACCGCAAATTCCCATACCATGATCTCCTTGGTGCTAGGGTGGCTGAGAGCAGTGACGGTGAGCCTGCCTGGCGTAACATGTTCCACGTTACAAACACGCCGTGGATTCGTGACCACAAGGTCGGGGAGAACATCGTCTTCCCATTCTGTGGCTACATTGCCCTGGCAGGCGAGGCCATCAGACAATTGACCAATGTCGAGGAGGGATTCAGCGTTCGGAATATCATTGTCAGCACGGCGCTGGTGCTCAGCGAAGGAAAGCCGACGGAGATGATGGCCACGTTCCGGCCGCACCGCCTGACAAACTCCCTAAATAGCGCATGGTGGGAGTTCACTGTTTCAGCCTACAACGGGCGCAACTGGACAAAGCACTGTACAGGAGAGGCCTGTGCTCTGTCGTCGGCGCCCGAGCAGACCCAGGATCCTGCTACTGACCTGCCTCGGAAGCTCAATGTGAGAAAATGGTATGAAAAAATGGGCAAAGGTGGCCTCAATTTGGGAGGATCTTTTCAGACCCTGGAGACGATGACGACCTCGACTTCAGAACAGCGGGCGGTTGGTAATGTTGTCAATGGAAGGCAGGGAGATGAAGCCAACTACCACATTCATCCTACCGTCCTCGATGCAACCCTGCAGATCCTGGGCGCTGCTGCAGTCAAGGGCTACGCACGTAACACCAAGACCTGGCTCCCGACCAGCATCGATAAAGTCACCGTCCACAGGTGCTCGTCAGATATGATCACCAGCGTTTCCGCTAAGCTGTCGAGTAACTTTTCGGTTGTTGGAGACGGCCGTTGTACATCCGGGGGCACTACAGTCGTTGAAGCTGTCGGTATCCGGATGTCGTTGGCGGACGGTACCGGTGCAACAGACATTATGGACACACATGCCGCATCCAGATGTGAATGGAGACCCGACATTGACTTCCTCGATGTGGATGAGCTCTTCTGCCCACCAGCCGGCCGAACAGACCATCTGCGTCTCCTGGAGGAACTCGGGGACATCTGCTTGCTCTTGTCCCAATGGCATTTTTCAGAATCAGCAAGCAAATCAATTCGGCCCCATCTACAGAAATACATGGCTTGGATCGGGTCTCAATCCGACTCGATTGCATTCAGATTGCCTTCGACTTGGACAGGCCTCGATAACGAGGCTATCTCCGCTCGAATCGACAAGATATTGAGTCAGCTAGCAAACACTCCGGCAGCCCCAGTCGCCAGTGCCATGCATCAAGTCTGCCTAAAGATGGAATCCCTCTTGTCCGGCGAAAGCCTAGCGGATGTCCTCCCGAGGGGAACTCTAACGCAGGTCCATGAATTCCTTGGACAGATAGACCGAAGGGAATTTATTCAAATGCTGAGCCACTCCAAGCCCAACCTCAGGATCCTAGAGATTGGAACTGGAAACGGCGCGTCGTTGCACCGAGACATTCTTGCCGAATTGACACGACCTGATGGGGAGGTCCTCTGTGCTAAGTACACTTTGACTGCCCCAGGCTACGTTGTGGCGACAACCCAAGAGAAGATATTCCCAAATATGGAGTTCGCCAGCTTGGACATCAGCGAGGATCCGCTCGAACAAGGATTCGAGGAAGGCGGGTACGACCTAATTATAGCTGTCAACGCTCTTCATGAGTGCAAAAATATCCAGGAAAGCCTGGTCAACCTGAGAAAACTCCTACGCTTCGATGGTAGGTTGCTTCTCCAAGAGCTTTGCCCGTCATCCAGATGGATCCAGTATGTGCTCGGTGTGCTCCCGACGTGGTGGTCGGGCCCTGCCGATGTCAAGACGCCCTATTTGGGCCAAGAAGAGTGGAAGTCGAAGCTTGCAGCTGCAGCGTTTGGCGATATCGAGGCCATGGCTCTGGATGCAGAAAAACCCCATCAAGTTACGACAACGATGGTCGTAAAGCAGGTCCGTGAGACGCCCATAAAGAAGGTCACAGTGCTTCTCGAGAAGGAAGGACCTGCTGTCACACACATCCTGAGCGAGCTGGAAAAGGAGGGCTACGAGGTGACCAGATGCAGATTAGAGGATGAGCCACCGGCTGGCCAAGATGTGATTTCGCTCCTGGACGTCGAACAGCCCTTTTTCCACGAGATCGATGAAGCACGCTTCCTGGCATTCAAGGCCTTCCTTCTCGGTCTTCAGGACCGCGACGCCGGGATGCTCTGGGCAACCCACCTCATCGACATAGGATGCCGTGATCCCCGATATGCGCAAGTTCTCGGCCTCGCCAGAACTATCCGTACGGAGCAGCTGGCCGATTTGGGAACCTGTCAGATCGACAGTTTTGACAACCCGAAGTCCATTGGCCGATTACTTCAGGTGCTTGCCAAGTTTCAGACTCGCCAAGGTGACGATGAACTCAACCCCGACTTCGAATGGGCCATTTTCAATGGCCAAGTTCAAGTGGCACGCTTCCACCCTTTCATACTGGCCGATGAGCTCTTGGTTTCAGAGGAGTCAAACGAGATGGCCACACTGAATGTCCGTACGCCGGGACGGGTCAACAGTCTACACTATGCGCGGCATGAACGAAAGGAGCCCGAGAAGGACGAAGTGGAGGTCGAGGTGTACTCCGCCGGTTTGAACTTTAGAGTAAGTCAACCCAGTCAACCCATCAGAGCGAGTGTCATGTTACTGACAGGAGACATCTAGGATATTCTGGTCGCACTGGGCATTGTTGAACTGCCGGTCCGTCTCTTCGGAATTGAAGCTGCAGGCATCGTCACGCGCGTCGGGGCAGACGTCAGCCCCGACGACCTTCAAGTAGGGGATCGGGTCGTTTGCTTTTGCAGGAAAGACGCCTTTTCCACATATACAACCACGTTGGCTGCTGTCTGCGTGCGGATTCCCGATAGCCTCACCTTCGATCAAGCTGGAACGATGCTTATACCGTATTTCACCGCGATCCACTCTATGGTCAACGTTGGACGCGTCACAAAAGGCCAGGTAAGCGGCACGGAAGACCCAATGTTAATTTTTTATGATGTGCAAGTACAGTTACTGATCAATATTCCCTTGCATAGTCCGTGCTGATACACAGCGCCTGCGGTGGAGTGGGCCTGGCGGCTATCCAGGTAGCTCAGATGCTGGAGGCCGATGTGTATGTTACGGTTGGCAGCGAAGAAAAGGTCAAGTATTTGATGGAGAACTACCACATCCCGCGAAACAGGATCTTCCACTCTCGTGACAGGTCGTTTGTGGATGGCGTTATGCGAGAAACGCAAGGCCGTGGCATGGACTTCATCCTCAACTCCCTCTCGGGCGAGCTCTTGCACGCCACGTGGAGCTGCGTTGCTGAATTTGGAACTTTACTCGAGATCGGAAAACGCGATCTGATCGGAGATGGTAAACTCGACATGAAGCCTTTCCTGGCGAACCGCAATTATTGTTGTGTCGACATCGACGGGCTCTGGAAGAGAATCCATGTCGCCAGAGCTTTAATTTTCTCTATCTTGGATTTCTACAGCAAAGGATACATCTCCCCGCTCCCCATGACCATCTTTCCCGCAGCCCAGACCCAAGATGCATTCCGATTCATGGAGAAGGGACAACACATCGGCCGTGTGGGCGTTTCGTTCAAGCCGGCCGAAGGGGAGACCCAGCTGGGATTGGAAACCACCAAGAGAGCTCTGACGATTGCCTTCAACGGGTCCGCCTCCTACCTCATGGTTGGTGGCCTTGGCGGGATCGGTCGTGCCGTATCCACCTGGATGGTGGACCACGGGGCTCGCGAGCTCGTCTACCTGTCCCGTAGCGCTGGTCTCACGCCCAAAGATGACGACTTTGTCGCCGAGCTCCAGAGCATGGGTTGCGCTGTCAAGCTCGTGAGCGGAGATACTACGAAGCTCGAGGATGTCAAGAGAGCCATTGCTGCGGCAACATATCCCCTCAAAGGTATTGTACAGATGTCTATGGTGGTCGCCAATGAGAACTTTACCAGGATGAGCTTCGACGAGTGGATGGCGTCGACGGCACCCAAAGTCCAAGGAACCTGGAACCTCCATGAGGCTTCTGTGGCCCCCGGTATCGATCTGGATTTCTTTGTGATGTTCAGTTCGGTATCGGGCATCGTTGGACAAGCTGGCCAAGCCAATTATGCCAGTGGTAACAGCTTCTTAGACGCGTTCGCCCAATACCGTAACGGCCTGGGTTTGGCGGCCTCTGTGGTTGATATGGGAGCCGTCGAGGACGTGGGATGGATTTCGGAGCACCAAGGGATGATGGGGAAAATGTCCAGGAGCGGCTTCAAGCCTGTACTGGAGCAGGAGGTTATCGACGCAATGGCAATATCCATGCTGGTCCACAACAAACCCGGTCAAGCCGTCGACGAAGCTCTTGCGGCCGATTCCAAAGCCACTTCTTATTTCGTGCACAAAAATACTTTCCTCGTCGGCCTTGCTTTGCTCATTCCATTGCACGATCCCAGCAACTACGTGATCTGGAAGAAAGACCGCCGCATGGCCTCCTATCACAACAATTCTACGGTGGCTGCAACCGCAGCCTCGACGGATGTCCTCAAGTCCTACTTGAGCAGTGCCAAAGCGGATCCGTCCATGCTCAAGTCGCCAGAAGCAGCGAAGCTCTTTGCGGTCGAGATCGGCAAGAGACTCTTCGACTTGTTGCTCAAACCTCAGGAGGAGCCTAATACGAGCTGGCCACTGCTCGATCTCGGCCTTGACTCGTTGGTGGCTCTCGAATTGCGCGCTTGGATCAAACAGGTCTTCTCGTTTGATCTTCCCATGCTGGAGATGATGAGTATTGGCTCTCTTGACATTCTCGGTCAGTATGCGGCAAATGAGGTCTATAGAATCGCGACAGAAAACAACGAGAGCTAAGCCATCCCTCATGCGGAATTGCAACTACTCGGAAAGAGTCCATCCTATCATTCTACTACTTGCTGCAATACAGCCTTCAGCCCTCCTTTGGCATCAAGCACAGGGTCGGTTAAAGTATTCCTTGCATCTATTAATGCTTTTCTACAAATGCTTTTCTACATTCTTTGTGTCCTTGCTCAGACTGTACATTTTATATGAGAAATGCCAAGTATCTATTTGTCAAAGATTTTTCATAATAATCTTTCTGCGTCCATGAGGAGTGAATTATGGGCTCTTCCGGGTACCCAGGGATAGGAAAACTCAAGGCCTCCAAAGTACGCGATGTAGAGAACGAGTTCGCTCCTAAAGATCTTGGTTCTACAAGCCTCAAACCAAAGTTATATCATAGTCCTTTGTCCCTCCGGGATCAAGATTCGCAGGGTTGGATAACAGACAAAAGGTCCGTCCGGGATGACCACATGTTTAGGTCTCTATTGCTCCCAACATACTCTCGTAAGCAAGGGGCAGAATTGAAATCGTACGACATTGACTGATAGAATGAGCCGAGCATGTCACAAATGCTGCGTTCATCAACCGGGGAATCGGAATCCGTAAGCGCGGAGGCCATCAGTGGACGGGATCCGAGTCTGACGACCTCGGTCATGGAACGAAACAAGCCCCATATGAAGTAATGGAAAAACCCTCCTATTCATAAAGTCGTATGCAAGCAACTAGGATAATCGGGGTTCATCTTCACCAAGTCCCCGTCTTCTTCTACCATCAATACATCGTTCAGCTAAACCCTCCTGCCAGAACTTCCCAAAATGTGGCGAGTCCCAACAGACGTCCCGCAGGTTGCCGTACCCAATGGACTCAAGCTCGCGGAAGTGACAGTCGACACCCCCTTAGACGAAGTGTTCAAGCACTGGAAAGAAAGCGGCGGCGTCATCCTGAAACACATGCTCACCCCGGCGGAGGCGAACCAGATCACCAGCGAACTCGAGTCCCGCATCGACTCCGTGCAACGGGGTTCCCGGGTGCCCCATCCGGACCTGGCGGCCTTCCACGGCACCAAAACCAAGCGTGCCGGCGACCTCATCAACCACAGCGCGACGTTTCGCGCGCGCATCCTCGAAAACGACTTCATCCACGCCATCTGCAAGCGCTGCTACAGCGAAGGCGGGCATAACGGGGACTACTGGCTCTCGGCGGCGACCACGCTCAATGCGTCCGGACCGCAGCCCGCGCAGGTCCTGCACCGCGATCTGACCTCCTATCCACCATACGCCCAGCTCGGACCGGAAGGCACCGAGCCCCAGATCAACTTCCTCTTTGCCTTTTCGGACTTTACGGATGACAATGGCGCCACGCGCATCATCCCCGGCAGCAACAAATGGCCCTTCCATCAGCGCGGGGACATGACGCAGACGATCCCGGCCGAGATGAAGATCGGGGACTGTCTACTGATTGGGGGCAAGGTCATCCATGCCATGGGCGAGAACAAAACGGAGACGGAAAGGAAATGTATACAGCTGACCGTCATCCCCAGTTTCCTGACTCCGTCGGAAGCACATCCCTTCATCATCAAGCTGGACACCGTGAAGAAGTTGTCCAAGCGCGCACAGCGATTTGTGGGGTTTAGGTCGCAGTACCCTCGCGGCTCGCCAGGCTTGTGGACAAAGGATTATATCGAATTGGCATTGCATCTGGGTTTGGATGATCTTCAGGGTGCTATGGAGGATTTGCAGGATGTTCTCAACCAGCCCAAACAATGGGATACAATTGATTATGACAAGGTTTGATTAAGTTGTACATAAAGCTACTTTTGGCCACCTGAATGATTTACACACTCTACTTGATAGTTTGCAAAAAAAAGCCCCCTTTATCCCCAACCCCCCCAATCCTTTTCCCCACTAATCCTCGAAGCGCTGATTCCCGAACCCCTGCGACTTCAGATCAATCTCATCCACGAACAGCGAAGTCACCAACCCCAGTCCACTGAGCCCGGTCATTGTGTAGAAGATCGTCTGGAAGCACTTGAGATAGACCCTCAGAACCTGATCAAGCGTTCCAACAGGAGCGTCTAGGGATCTAAGCTTGTCAATAAAGGCCACCGCATTGGAGGCTTCCTTGAGAGGAGCCAGAGAACCGGTAAGTTGGACTGTAGTGGCGGAGATGGATGTCGAGAAGACCGAGTTGAAAATGGTTGAAGAGATCGTGAGGCCGACGAGACCTCCAAACATGCGGATTGCGAGAAATTGTCCGATCGCTAGGCCGGTGTCGTCGACGTTTTTGACGCTCGCCTGCATGGGGAGAAGATTGAGACGCAGCAAGGCAACCCCCGCTCCCCAGAGGATGGGAAGGCCGAGCCGCATGGATGACGACGATCCTACGTCGAACAGGGCCAGCAAGCCGGTTCCCAGCGTGAGTATGATCCATGCCAGCCTGAGAATCCATACGTATCCACCAAACAACGGAACCATCATCATGGAGGCAGCTGCGACCACTACACTAGTAATGACGGTGGGCAGCAGGGCGACGGCCGATAAAATGGCAGTTTCGAGTTGTACGGCTTGGTAAAGCAAGGGCAAGTATTGCAAAAGCGAGACCAGCACCGCGCCATGGAGGAAGCCTCCGGCTAGCGTCATGTTTCCAGTCTTCGAGTGGAAGAGTCGATGAGGAACAATAGGGGCTTCGGGTTTCGCTTCGTAGAAACCAAATATGACCAGTACCGCAACCCCTAAGAACATTGGGACGAGAGTCTGCCAGGAAGCCCATGGAAATAAGGAGCCCGCCCAACTGAGCGGCAACACAAAGATCGTGATCCCGACCACGACCAACGCCATACCAATCCAATCGAGGCGGTTCAGATTCTTGGCCAGCGATGCATCGAGGGGGACGGGTCGTAGCTTGAGGAAGAAAAACACCAAGGGTGTACCAATCCCTAGCAACGGCAAGTTCACCCATCCAATCCATCTCCAGCTCGCATAGGTCGCGAACAGTGCACCAACGGAGGGCCCCATGATATTTCCAATCGCCATGGGAATGGCCATCAAGCCCAGATATTTCGAGCGTTCCTGCAGCGTCGTCATATCTGCGAGAATTACCTCCGCCAGCACATCAATTCCTCCACCACCAAACCCTTGAAGTACGCGGCCGATGATAATCGTGTTCATATTTTGGGCCACGGCGAAGACGATGGATCCGACGAAGAATAACGCCATGGAAACGTAGAGAGGCGGTTTCCGACCGAATGCGGTGGAGATACTGGCCCACACCGGTTGCATGACGAGACCACATAGGGTGTAGGACAGGTTCGCCCAGAAGGACTCTAAACTATCCCCCTTGAGATCAGCAGCTATGGTCTACCGACTGAGGTTAGTCTTGGGGGCGATTCAGCAGCAGATGAGAAAATTGCGGTATAGCTCACTGGAAGGGCGATACCGAGGGCCGTTGCATCCAACTGGAACACAAACATGCTGGCGGCGAGGCCGATGAAAGCGAGTTTGAAGGCCAGCGATTTCTTTGGTGTCTGTTCGACATCATCCTCGCCATTTCCCTCGGCAGGAAGTTCCCTCCCGCCTGCCTCTGCCTCTGTATCTGTCTCTGCCTTTCCTTTTGTTTCTGATATGGGTTGTGAGTCTGATTCTTGTTGAACTGCGAATGTGGACATCTCGGCGCTGGCGCCTGGCCAATGCTTGGCACGATAGTTTAACTCTCAGGGCACGTCGGCTTAGGGCTCAAGCTCAATCAGAGACACACTCGCAGAAAAATAGAGGTCAAGTTTTCAGTTACAGAGATGGGATGCTTACCGACGGGGTTGGTCCACCGCAGTGTGCTGGAGATAGGAAAGAAGCTAGAAACAGAGACACCCCTTTGTTTCACGCTAGGATCCGCATCACAATATTCTTACTTCCGGATCGCTGGTCGATATTACTTACTCAGCAGGATCCGGGCCGTCACGTGTCCTGAGGATGAAGGGGAGCGGAATGACAGAATGAACGAGTATGTGCTCTGTAAGATGAATCATGAACCTTCGAATTCTCTTTTCCCCCAAGCGTGTGCCTGAGTTTGGTGGATGATGGATGAGCGAGCGGGAGCCTATGAGGCGCGCCGGTCCTCGCGGGTTCCGGTCCCGAAGGCTCGGCCCGGCTGTGGGGCCAAGCAAACCGACCTAAGGCAGCATTATCATGAAAGGCAGTGACTGCGACTGCGACCAGGACCAGGACCACGATCACAACCCAGAATAAGCTGTCGTCGATTCAGAGGCTCCATTAGAGACAACTTGTCATGGGTTTTCTTGGATTTGGGAGGGAGTCTGCCCCTCCGCCGACCGTACCAACCGACACCATCATTCCCTTCCACTACTGGGATGATGACCATCATACACGAGGCCTTTCCTTCGACGTCACTTTCCGCTTCGATGACATCCTGGACCCGGAGAAGCTTCGGTGTGCGCTATCCCGGCTGCTCGAATTAGGAGACTGGCGGAAACTCGGTGCTCGAATCCGAAGGAATGCAAAGGGGGAACTAGAATACCATGTTCCACAATGTTTCGACGACAAGCGGCCTGGCTTCGCATACTCCACGGTCGCATATGACATGAAGGTGGCCGACCATCCACAAACATCGCGTTTGGCTCAACCTCACCACCTTGATGCCGCTGGTCGCCCGTCCGTTCTGGCCACTTCATATACGACTACACCCGAGTTCAGATCATTAATTCGGACTCCTGGTTTCCCCGATCGCTTGGAAGGTTGGCTTTGCTCGGACAGTCCCCAGCTGGGGGTGCGCATTATCACCTTCCTAGATGCGACACTTGTCACCGTTTCTTTCCTTCATAGCTTGACGGACATGATGGGCCTTGATGCCGTTCTGGACGCCTGGTCTGCAGTGCTGCGCGGACGAGAAGACGATGTGAAGCCGTTTGTGGGATTTGCTCATGATCCTTTAGCTGGTCTCAGCGAGTCGAAGACAGAACCGCGGCAAAAATACGTCTTTGCCGACACGCTACTCATAGGGTGGACCTGGTTTTTGTTTGCATTGCGGTATATTCTTACGGTGGAGCTGTTTTGGCAGCGCCGGGAGGAGGAACGAGTTATCTTCTTGCCCGGAAAATACCTGCAACAGATGCGATCTCAGGCGATGGGGGAGCTGGCATCGCGCGACGCCAACGACGGCGACAAACCCCTTTTCGTTAGCGAGGGTGACATTCTGTTTGCCTGGTGGACGCGCGTCGTTCTGCGAGCCGAAAAACCTTCCCTCAACCGCACAGTTAACATGCGGAATACATACTGTTGCCGGTCAATCTTAGCAGAGCTTGGCCACATCCCGTCCGCTACCTGTGCTTTGGTAACCAATGCCGTATTCGCAACCCTGACATTCCTTTCCGTTCGCCAGGTTCTCGAAGAACCTCTAAGCTTCACCGCATACGAAATCCGCAAGTCTCTTATACAGCAACGGAACGCCGAACAACTCCAAGCACTGGACACCATCCAGCGAAATACTCTGGACAATGCACATCATCCAGCCCTATTCGGGGATCCTAGTATGTACACGGTGATGATGTCAAACTGGGTCAAAGCAAAACTGTTCAAAGTTGATTTCTCCGCCGCCGTCGAAAGACAGGGACTGGCAATGGACAAGCGAAGCAATCAGCTGGGCAGGCCATCTTGCATCCAAGGAGTTGGGACTAAAGGCTACGCAACGCGAAACACTGGCGTGGTGATTGGAAAAGACGCTGCGGGTAATTTCTGGCTGTTGTACAGTTTGCGGAAAGAAGTCTGGCCGGCTGTAGAGCAACAACTTCTGTCTATGTCTGATGAAGATGCAACATAATCTATCGAAGACATGCTTAGTGGCTAGCACAGTTGCTGACATTCTTACGGATACTGAGCTCTCTAGAATAATGTATAAATTGACAAAATCTGGCACTCAATCTCAAGCGAAGATAGCCCCTAGCTGAGCTTCCTCTTTTATCATGACCGGTTGCTACCATCTTCCCTACACATCCTCTCCCACCTCCTCCTCAGCACTGGCACGACAAACCACCCCATTACCACGCTCAACAACGAATCCACAATCCCAAGTCCTCTCTTCGGGCTCAGCCCGACCATGTTCGTAAACAAAAGGCTTGCAGACAACGAATCTTCGCAGATAATAAAATCCCCTTTATCTACCCGCGCAACTATTCCCTGAGCCACTTTCTGCGAAGAAGGGAATTTCTCCTCCAGCTCGGCGAAAGTGGCGACGTTGGTTCCCTGGATCCGCTTCGTGAGGTCAGGTTTGGTGTCTTGTTCGAGGACAAACCCAGGGGAGATGAAGTCGGCCGGGAAGGCGATGTGGATGGTGTAGGTGGTACTGGAGGAGTTGTGGCGGAGGACTTCAAAGCGGAGGGTGTCTGCAAGGGCTCGGACTGCGCTTTTGGCGGCTTTTTGATTGTTTGGTTGGTGTTAGCCAGATTGACAACAAACTCGAATCAACAATATTTATCAAGATCATCGACTTACGGGTATAAGCAACACTCCCTGGTAACCCCAAGAACGCCGCCGCACTGTTGACGAAAACAATCTTTCTGGTCTTGGGTCCAGTGGCATTGTTTGACATATCGATGCCAGTAGGTTTCTTGTCGTTCTCAACCCAGATATCCAACATGGCCTTGGCAGCATAAGCAGTGGAATAATAATTATTCTTCATGCAAGAATCGAGCTGCGTGGCTTTGAGATCGATGAAAAACCCGTTCTCAGCATGGTTCCCCCCGGCGGAGCAATACAGGAAATCCGCTATTCGGGGTTGGGCCCTGAATGCTTCCGCAACCTGTGTGTTTTTGGTTAGGATGAAAGCTCATTTCGCATGCTGCCGTCTCTCCGAGTGTTTGGGGGTTTCCTGGATTGGGAGCAACATACCGCAGAGGCATCAGCCATATTCACAGCCACGGCATTGATCTCTTGCTGATCCGCATCCACACAATTCCCGACTATCTCATTCTTCGCATCTTCTAGAGGACCCTGCCGTCGCGCGAATATTGTGACATGGGCGCCTTGGCTTGGGATCAGTGATAATCTAGGGGTTTCCAGGGTGGAGGATTTCACAAACCACGCGCAGCAAGTATGTTGGAAATCGCTTTTCCTAATCCACCGGAGCCACCCGTTACAAAGGCAGTCTGCGAGATCTGTCAGCGAGACCAGGATCCGGCCAAAATACGTACATACCTTGCCAAACAAGTCCTGATCTGGTCTCATGCTTTCTTCCTTTCCACTCCGGGGTCTTTCCAGGTGAGGGTAAGATTCTGCTAGGTTGCAATTGAAACATTCAAACAACGCCTCGCGAAGTCAGGATGATTGAACCTCGTTCCGTCGATCTTGTCATCTTGCCATGCTCTATGGGAGATATGAAATCATTATGCCAGAGCAGCCAGAGAAGGCAAGGACCCAGTCGGAGCCTTCGCCGGCCTGGACCAAGTGGGCCCTGAAGATGGGTCCCGTCTCCGAGATGAGCGAAGTACGAAATATTACCCTAATCGCTCCAGCTTCTTCAAATAAGGTCTAGACTCTAGTCGCTCTTTAAGGATTGTTGAGCTTTTAGCGCGTTATCCTTTCGTTTCAAGCACAGCACGTGTACTCGATATAGCAGCAACGGTGTCCTGAAGTCTCCCCTTCAGGGGCTAATCCGCCTCACAGGCTACTGCACCTAGTCTCTCCCCCCAATATCTAGCTCACACTTACCCCTCCGTTTTAGCCTCAGACAACACAGTCAAAACACCCCACCCCCCCACGCCCCATATACGCAGTAAGCAATCACCACAATAACCGAGGGCTAAGCATGTATTTTTAGCGCCTCTTTTCATTGGTCAGAACGATATGAAGAATGTGGAACCCACAGATTTCTGGTTTAGCGTGGTAAGCTTCATAAGCATGACCAATGGGCCTAGGGCATGGGGACCAACGCCAAAAGAACATATTGGCCCCAGGTGAGGGGTAGTAGAGCCTTCCTGCAGGTAAACTTATGTCCGTTCGGCTCTACCTGCTGAGACAGAGGCTGACTGTGCTCGAGGACTGACTCGTTAATCAACGGAAGATCGCCGGAATGTGCCGCAGGTCTTGCTTCTCCAGAGGCGGAAGCCAACTTTGTCTGATGCTCTCTGTTGCTTGGGTGCTACTGCATCTAAGCACGCCATCATGAGTGTCAATCTGCTAAAACGCGCGGCCCCCCTCACGCTATTCTCATCATTCTGCAGAGCAGTTACTGCCTTCACTCCAGTATCATGCATAGGGTTGTTGTAAAGGCAAGCAGGTTCCACAACGCAGCATGGCACCGTTGCATTTTGGCCTGGGTTCCACTTCACCAAGTACTTTCTGTTTTTGATAGGCTTCTCTGGTGTGACCAAGTGGCAGAAACTCTTTGAGGTATGGCAGGGTACCCTGGGCGCGTCTCACATCTTAACTGAGCGCAGTTTCATCAAGACAAGGGTGTGAGAGCGTTGCATGATCAGATCTGAACATTCTCCGTAGCTCCGGACGGAATGACTTCTCTCCAGCGACCCGGAAAAAATACTCAAGTTCCTGTCTCGCCAGTAGATCATCAGCAGCCTCCGTAGTAGATCGCAGTCTATCCTCAGACCTATTTCATACAGCGAATCCAAATGGTTGTCAAGACCTAAAGCCATATACGAAACTCAACACCCGGTACTAGCTCCGGGAAAGGTATAGTTATAGAAGTAGTATTATGTTATCAAATAAGATTTCGGTCAATCAGCCATGGCTAACAACAGCGGAAGAGGCTTGATGGAAGAGGCTTGAACGATTCAGCCGAAACTCTACAACAATAGGCATATTTATCCAGGAGATCCCCGAAGTACATCACCGACTACATCCGCGCCCCATGTCTAAGTTTTTTTCAAACTATCTTCGCTTCCGTTGTCGGCTTTCATAGGAAATAGATTACTATATACTACGGTAATCTAATATATGATTAGTTTATTAATCCTAACTGCGCTTATACTGAAAAATAAGCAGCAGATCTAGAACAGTAAAGAGTACATTTTTCCTCTAACCTCTTATCAGGCTGATGTTGTCGGATTGGGTTGAGGACATCGAACCATCTCTCCCATCTCCCATTGATGGGACCTGGTTGGCCCTGTGCATGCTTGGCCGTGGGCCCTTATGGTCCTCAGTCGTTGGTGATGGTTCAATTGGCCCCCCCCGTAAGAATGCATCTCAGCATGCAGAAAGGAAATGAACGGCGGCAATGCCTACTGCGGCTGACAAGCGGAGCCTTGTTGCCCTATAAATGCTCTTACCCGCAATCATTGTAAGGTGTCAGGCTGTACGTTAGAACCCGATCTTATACCTATCCGGAGGGATAATCAAAGATTCGCGCGGGCCTACGACTCCTTTCTGGCAAAAACTGCGACAATGGCCCAGGAACTTAGTAGAGACGAGTACACAGGTAAGCGAGCCCCCCCGATCCGCACGGCCCCAAAAAGCAAGCCAACCATAGGTAACCAATCATTTCGATCAGTGTGTGACCAATGCCGGGCCAGGAAGATACGCTGCAGTCGAGAAAAACCCTCGTGCAGGAACTGTGGCCGCCTGGGCTTGCAGTGTGAGTGGTCCGGTCAAGGCAAAAAGTGCAATCAAACAACTCTGCTGTATGTACTACGCCACTACTTCACTACTATATACGCATTCGTTGTTCCGGGCTCATGATCTCATAGAAGCCATACGATCCTGGGCATGGGTAGTCGCCTTGAACAACTCGAGGTAAGCTGGCCGCAGTCCCATATACATCTTGTAGACGATCTCTAAATGACGGCTTCTTGAAGACTTCATTGGCGGACACTCAGAGGTCCTTGAAGCGACTTTTCGAGGGTTCATCGACTGTCTCATCTTCCTCAGGACACCCACCCAGCCCAGCGGTGCCTACACCACAATTGACTGATCAACGGTGCCCTGATTCGTTAAAATTGCCCGTATTCACGAGGCCGCTTGGTCGATTTGTCGTGGACCAGAATAGTGACGAGAGATGCTTTGGCCCGACATCTCTTGAGTCACTGATGCTCAACATCAAGGATGAGCTCTTGCAGAGTCCTGACCTCGAAAGACACACCGTGAAGGAATGCGTGATGCAAGCACAACGCAAAATTGATCTTCTGGTTGGCCAGGGGCAAGAGACTCCAATTATTGGGGAAAAGTCTCCGCCCGCGATGCCTCCCTTTGCCATTTTGGACGCCATGATTGAGCCATACTTTACAACAACCAATGATCATTTTCCTATCTGGACAAAGAAGAGGTTCACACAAATGGCTACTACTTTGCGGCAAGCATCGCCATCCGAACGGGACCTTGCTTCTATCGTCTGCTGCAACAACCTCATCATCATGGCCATGTCAGCGGACTCCCTAGGCTCCCACCAGTGGGAGTCCATGATCTCCAAGCAGTCCCACAAGACTTCGTCAATCGACTTTGACCTTATTGCGGGCTTTTTGACAAACGCAAAGCGCGCTGTGAGCAATATTGACCAACTTGTGTCGCCGCACCTGATCAATGTGCAGGCACTCTTATCTCTGGTATGTTTCGGACTAAGTACCCCACCTTTCCCAGTTTGCAACTGATCCACTGACAACAAGAAGCACATAGTCGCGCAAGTGTACCTCTCTATAAGTATATCCGAGACGCTGCTTGCTCTAGCAACCAGATGTGCCAAGTCCATTGGCATCCACCAGTGGCACTCCTTTCAGAGTCAACTGAGTGATGACGACGTCAAAGAAAAACAAAACCTTTCATACTGCTTATACGTTCTTGATAAGGCCGTCTGCTGGACGGCTGGGTCATCTCCCAGTATACCAGTCTCCGAAGTCCATTTCGACCCACGCCTGGCGCCTTCTGAAAACGGCATCCCGTCCTGCCTTGTTGCAAAGGCTGAGATGGCTAGGATAGAGGAGACCGTATACCTGGAGATATACGCTGTCCATGTGCAGGCGAGAGACGAAGATCAAGTTCGAGGATTTGCAGCCTCGGTTTTGTCAAGACTCCAAGTTTGTCTCACCGAATCGGGAGTCGATTTGGACAAGATACAGAAATCGCTTGAAGGCTCCGCTTCGAATCTCCAGCTGGCAATCAGATATCTTTCTGTTCAGCTGCTCCTCATCTGGCCCCACAAGCACCATCCCGATCCCATGTTTCAACGGGCTCCCGAGGTCGCTCGAATGTGTTTGAAACTCTTGTTACGCCTGTGGCATTCCCCACCCGACCAAGGGAGCCAGGCTGTTTTCTCATTGTAATGATACCTTTTGCTTTTTCTCACTGCCCTTGTATATTTTGATCCACACAAATTGGCTGAGACTGACCGTTGGTTTTTGATATAGCTTTCTCGCCTCACTTCCGCCACTATATCTTTACGAAGTATTGTCATCCATCCTCGGTGGTCAGGGGTCCAATTGGGACATCGACATGCTTCAAGAGTTTGTTGAGATGCTCCAGACCATAACCGACTGCCGCGCAGAAGCCTCGTACAATCGACGGCTATACCAGCTGTCACTTATTGTCACCGACGTGATAAAGGCCAGGAAGACTCAGCACAAACGGCAGAAGCCGACCTCGGAAGGACCAACGAACCCTTATTTGATGCCAGAGCTACTCTCCCCCCCAACAAGCGGTTACGGCTGCATGACTTCAGATGTTCAAGAAACCTATGATTCACGCTTCGACAGTGCCGTTTTCCAAGATCCAGATGGTTCTTTTGCCTCCATGGACCCAATCCCGTCGGCGAGCGGCGAGTTGGCTCGAGGCTCAGATTCGTTTTTGCCGCAGTTGAGGAGCTACGCGAAGACGGCTCCCGGGAACGAAAATTTCAATTCTCTGGCCATGGAAGCCTTGGGAGAGTCTGTTCTGTTTTGGAAGGGCGTCAATCAAGGTGCCAGGGTTGAGAGCCCGTCAGTCAGGTGCGATTTGGGGGAGAGGTTAAATTATATATGAAGACGAATTCTCAGAACGAATCTGTAGGCACTGAAAAGAAACTTTGGCAGCGGACAACCACTGCAGTCTATTACAAGAGACTAGTCGTGCGTAATCAAGTATGTGCTTGCATAAAGTGGGCCCCAGCACTCTGCTCCCATATTTTGTCATATACTCATACCGAGTAACTGTCGGAAAGTCGAACGCGGAGACGGCGCCCGAGCCCCGGTGGTATAAGGGGTTTCAAGGGCTTGGTTGTGGGTAGAAGTGACACAAAAATTAAACCAATCGTACGACTCGTCTCAGCTGATGACAAGACTGGGGTATTGGGTCCAGCTGTCGGTCAGCGAACTTGATCCTCTAGATCATTGAAGTAAGGGTGGCCCTCCACCAGAAAACGCGGCCTCACTTCCTTTTGTCGCGGAATTGGCCTTGGAAGACCAAACCGCCATTATGGGATCCATTAAGGATTACTTTGGAGTCCTCTGCCTCGGCGCAGCAGCCGGTATCTACTTCAAGCCCGAATACGCCATCTACGACTCCAGAATCGCGGCCATTGCCGTTTTAATTACAGGCATCACCATATCAAAGCTGCTCTATCAGTTATTCATCTACCCTCAATTCTTCACGCCGTTGAAACACTTTCCGGCCCCGCCAGTGAGTCATCAAATCCACCGTTGCCACCACTTGACTCTGAATTAACTGCAAATCTAGAATCGGCACTGGCTCACGGGCAATACGGGCAGTCTGCTCGTCGACACCCCCCATGCGCTAATGAAGGAGTGGGCCAAGACTATTCCCAATGATGGAATTCTCCGTTACTACATTGTGGGAAACATGGAAAGGCTCACGATCACCAGTCCTGCTGTCCTAAGCGAAATTCTGGTGAGCAAGGCCTACGACTTCGCAAAACCCTTGGTGATACAGCAAACATTGAGGCGTGTGCTGGGCAATGGCATCCTGATTGCCGAGGGCGAGGAGCACAAGGTAAGAAAGAAAACAGCAATGTGCTTTTCGATTGTGATCTTACAAATCATTTCGTTGTAGTTTCAACGTAAGAATCTCAAGCCAGCGTTTGCGTACCGCCATATCAAGGATCTCTATCCTGTCTTCTGGTCCAAGGGCACGGAGATGGCCAAGTTGATTCGAAAGGATCTGCAGAGCAGAAAAGCCCCGGAAGATAACACAATTCAAGTGCGAACCTGGGCCAGTCGATCCTCGCTGGACATCATCGGGTTGGCGGGCATGGGCCGGGATTTCGACTCCTTGCACGACCCCGAAAACAGTCTCAGCCAATCTTACGAAATGATCTTCGCCACGCCGGGTCTGGGAACAAAGATCCTTTTTATACTTGGAATGCTCCTGGGGAATACGACATGGCTAGCAAAGCTACCCACCAGGCAGAATAAGCTCATTGACACCGGCTGCCGCAATATCCGGGATGCCACGCGGCGGATGATCCGCGAGCAGAAGGTCAAAATGGAAGATCCAACTGCAGGGACCGAGGTCGATATCATTTCCGTCGCAATGCGGAGCGGCAACTTTGACGACGAGAACCTCGTCGACCAGCTGATGACCTTCCTCGGCGCCGGCCACGAGACAACCGCTGGGGCTCTGCAATGGGCTGTATATGCGCTTTGCAAGCACCCAGAGGTCCAGACCCGCCTGCGTGACGAAGTCCGCGCCAACCTGCCATCTGTCAATGCCGAGAACCCCAGTCCCATCGACGCTGCGACCATTGACAGCCTCCAATATCTAAATGCCGTCTGCAATGAAGTCATCCGCTTCCACCCGTCTGTGCCAAATACCGTCCGTGTGGCGTTAAATGACACCACTCTGCTGGGGAAGCCTATCCCCAAGGGCACGCAAGTCGTCATTTCGCCGGAACTTGTCAATCATATGCCGGCGCTTTGGGGGCCGGACGCGGAACAGTTCAACCCCGATCGATGGATGGGCCCCGGCAGGGCCAACACCGGCGGCGCATCCAGCAACTACGCTTTCCTGAGCTTCCTTCACGGTCCCCGCAGTTGCATTGGTCAGGGATTCGCCAAGGCGGAACTGGCATGTCTCCTCGCTGCGGTGGTCGGTAGCTTTGAGTTCGAACTGAAATACCCCGACGCTCCACTGGAGGTGCGCGAGGGAGCGACTATTGCGCCAAAGGACGGCGTCCTGGCCAAATTCACTCCTTTGGAAGGATGGTAGAAGCGGGGGTGAGGGGTTTTTCCTGCATTGTCTTACTTCTTTCTGGGTTGCTTTTGGCGATTAGTCTTCCCATGGGTTTAGGTGAACCAAAGGCATTTCTGCATATGGACGTCTCTGGGAGTGGATCGAGACGTGAAACAGTCATCCAGTCGTTTATCATGAGAATATTACATAGAGCCTACCAGTGTAGACAAAAAGAGAGCACAATCGAGCAGCAGTGCCAGAATGGGGTCAGGGCGACGGGGCGAATGCGGCAGCGGGATCCGGCGCCCCGACACGAAACATAAGAATAAGTCTCTCCACATGATGTAGTATAATATTACCATCCGAGTCGATCTTTTCCCTAAAATGGCTTAAATGGGGATTGTAAGATTATAGATCGGTCATCCCCAACACGCTCCTCTTGGGAAGACTTGACCTCGGAGAAATCTGTGCAGAAGGATAAAGGAAGGACCTGACTATTTTACACTCTCCAAATTCTTTGAGTTCTGGCTTTACACATCATGGCGCGTCAATTGATCTTCATCACCGGTGCAACCGGTTTCATTGGCAGTGCCACCGCCATCGCAGCAGTCAAAGCGGGATATCGACTGCGAATCTGTGTTCGAAAGCCCGCAGACAAGTTACAGGATCTGCTGTCGGGGTATAGCGACCAAGTGGAATATGTTACTGTTTCCGATTGGACAGCCGAAGCCGAATTCAGAGGGCAGTTGGATGGAGCAGACTATGTCATCCATCTCGCACATCCTATTCCCAGCGGCACCGATAAAGAGTACTATTTCACTCCAGCTGTGAAAGCAACGACTGCCTTGCTCAAGGAGGCTGCTCGAGTGCCAAGTATCAAGAAGGTTGTGGTCACCTCATCGATTGCGGCCTTGATGCCCCTGAACGGAATACCAACCGGCGGTGTCGTCAAAGGTGAGTTTTCGGGGGGGTGTTCCTGGGGGCCGCCTATATTGTAACTGGAGCTAACATCATCCCCAGAGGACAACGACTGGGACTTTGATGTAGATGAGACTGAAGACTTCGCAGCATCTAACGACCCACGAGGAATACCCATGCGGTTGTACCATGCATCTAAACTGCTCGCCAATAAAACAGTATGGGAGTTCCAGAAGACCGCAAAACCGCAGTACGCCTTGGTAACAATCCATCCTGTGTTTGTGTACGGACGCAACCCGGCGCAGACTACTGCTGAGGAGATCCAAGAATCCTCAAATGGTCTCCTGTGGTATGCTATCATGGCAGGCATCCCTCACCACTCTTACTCTCGGGTTCCTGCTGTGCATATTGACGATGTTGTTGAAGCCCACCTCAAGGCCCTGGATCCAGCCATCCCAGACGGGTCGAGGTATCTGCTGTCGGCGAAGGGCGGGACCTGGAAAGAGGTGGCGCAGATCATTCAGCAGAACTATCCAGGTCTTGGGGCAAAGATTACACCAGACATTGAGGAAGAGTTTCTCTCGACAGATAGTAGCAAAGCAGAAGCAGAGTTGGGGCTGCAATGGCGTTCATGGGACCGGATGGTGCGGGATGTGGTAGACCAGCAACTGGAGTTTGTAAAAGGTTGATTGAGTATTTCGAAACCATCAGTCATAGGGGTTCACACTTTTGTACTTTGAGAAACCAACGTCCCTCGTTGTTTATCATTTTACCCTGTACGTCTTAATGATGCCATTTATCAAGGTGATGATGGTTAAGCAAAAAGGCATTCCACCGATTCCAGTTACTAACCGTCTAAAAACTGAGTTTCCAGGTGTAGTCATTTCCGTGCCCTACGTGTTAGGCGATTTGTCTTGCGGTAAGCTGTTCAAGAACAGACTTGACAAGGCCCGGCAACCCTTAAAAGATATCTACTCTGTAGCGAAGCCACTGGTTGTCCTTGTTGCGATGACGATGTCACCCACAGATCTGGCATCATTGAATCACAAGGAAATGTGTCCTCGTCTCGAATACTGGTGGCAGAACAATGCGCCATCCCAAAGATTTCCAGTCCAGTTCAACCGAGCTTGTCCACAGGTGGCCTTCTCCATGTACAACATAGATTATTCCTTACTTGCTGGGTGTATTGACACTAACTCCTTCAGAGTCGTAGCGTATCAAACACAAGAAGGTGGAAACATTTGAAGGGGAGAGGAGAAAGAAAGAAGATCTGGGGGACAAAGCCCCATACTAGCAAAGCAAAGAAGGTCCTTAACTGGCTATAGGAGATCCATGCATATGGAATGGAAGAATTGGTAAGGCAGGTTATAGGTAATTGATTGCAATAATACTGCACCCATCTCCAACCTACCACATCTGCTCAATTTGGACGCCATCTCTGAAACACCCAACCCCCTTCCACTGCCTTTGCAAACCCAATCCGCGGTCCCTGTTCACCATGCCTCTCCTCAAACATATCCTCTACCTCATTCACAGGCGTTGCCATGCGTACTTCAAACAGCGCCGCTACTAGCGCAGGAATACTCAGGCGCGCTTGTGCCTCTCCTGTATTGCCCCGAACAGCTATCAAAGCTACAATGGCGAGTATAATGCCCAGCAACACAAGCAGCAGATTGGCGGCAACCAGGGCGAACAGCGGCGCTTTGGGAACGCGCGCAACAAGAATCCGGTCTCGCACCTGGGACGCCCGAGCGGCGCGTGGCTCGAATGCGCCAGACGAAACTGCCAAGGCGGTTTGACTATATGCTAGTGCAAACTGATCTGCGATCGCTTGCGCGGAGTTGCCCAGCCCTGCGATGCTAGCAGCCTGGATGAGGTTTGGGTTCCCGACGTCTGTGCGGCGCTGTGTGCCTTGCACGATAAGCGTCGTAGAACTGTTCGATTTGCTAGTCTTCCAGTCCTTGATGGTGCCGTTGACGGAAGAGTATTCGACGTCGTAGACGGTGGATGTGCAGCCCACGACCACGATAGTAGCACCGCCGTGTCCACCAGACAGAACCTCCGGGTCGTTCTGCAGGGCTGCAGGGCGTGCATTGCGCATATTCGCTAGGATCACGGCGAAGTAGTAGTAGGGATTGCCAATCAAAGTTTTATCCGTGTTATTGCTAGAGCCAGTTGAGTCGGTGAAGTAGGCCATGGTGACGGAGTTGGACGCGCCCACGGCTGTGTTGACCCTCCCTTGGAACGCGAATGGGCAGTTGTAGGTCGTGCCAACTCCGGAGACATCATTGGCGTTCGCGCACTGGGAGGTCACGGGAGAACATTGCGAGTGTATGGCATATGTTGAGACGGTGTAGTCGAGAAGCGATAGGCGAGGTGTTTCCGGGCTCGCGATGTATGCGTACTGATCTTGACCCGTCGAGTAAATCTGGATTGTCATTGTATCTGATATGTTGGAGAGGACTTTCATCGGGTCGGGGTTCAGCAGGACATCGCCTGAGGCAGGGTTGTTGAGATTACAGCTAAGGAGAGTGCTGTCTACGTTTGTGCAGTTCTGGTACACGCCGAATCCAAGACCTGAGGGGTCGGAGTTTGCGTTCACTTGGATGAAGTTGACGGTTTTGGTAGTGAAGTGAAGCCAGGTGTCGGTGACTAGGACAAGAGTGCTATTTTCTTGTTAATCTAGCAACGCGATAGTACCTCTAGAGACTGAAAAGCCACGCACCTTGAGGCAATGCCGAGGGTCAATACGGTTGTCAGACTCTTTATCGCTCTCCCCTGTCGCTCGCGCCGTCCTCGCCACCCAAAGGAATACATCAACCAGCTCCAAAGGGCAGAGAACGAGCCGCTCGAAATCATACGGACAATCAATGAGAGCTGAAAAGGTGTTGGTAGCTGTGCCACCTCATGATTTTCCGAGGCCGTCAACAGACCCTTCGCAACGGGGTAGGACACCAGAGCGACACCGAAGCCAACCAATATTGGAGCGAGAGTGCTAGACCACGAGGCAACGGTGATGAGTGTGGTTGCACTTATTCGGACAAAATAGACGCCTGGATCATTCTGGTTCGAGTCAAATGCGAGATCACTGGAGGTAAAGTCGTTTTGTGTGATGCGATAATGAAAGACCAAGCCGAGCAGAAGGCCGGAGAAGATTAACATTGGCAATGTCATTACAGTGAATGCGATGAGAATCTCCTGGATGCGCCCCTGCATTTGCTTTGGCCCTCCATCAGGAGCCAGAGGTATAGTTGAGGATACTCCTGTCTTGTCCGTATCTTCAAAGGTGACCATCTTGGTATGAGTAAAAAGTATGAAGTCTTAACTATCGCGGTTCAAGACACCATTTGACGGCAATTGCGGGTATTTGTGCAAAGTGTTTGGCAAGCGTGCGGCTGAGGAAAACGAGGTGCTCGCCTACTTTTGCCGTGACAGTAAACGCCACCTCGACGCCTCCAGAGCCTAGCCCATAGAAAGACCCCACGTCTATACTCTCTACAAATGATGCATTGCCTGTAATCCCAAGGATCGGGACTACAGGACCCTGCGGATCACGAGATGGCCTGACTGCGTGGCCATGATAAGGTTTCTTTTGGTTTGAGGTATCGGTTGGTAGACTGGTACGGGGAGGTCGGATAAGCGATTGGAATCTGACACCTTGGCAGGTCGGTAGAGGCATTTGAAATTGCCATTTGCCAGCCCCAAGAATCTTGTCTCCTAATTGATCACTCCCAGCTGGAGGCGAGGTCCGATTGATCTACAAGTACGACCGCTCAGCAAGAAGTCTCGGTTGTGTGGCAGGGACTTCCTCATTTAGCGAAGCCGATGTAGCAACGAATAGGATATTCGGGTTCGTGCTCTGGGAATACGTGCAGTAGAGCCACCAGAAGTGGGTCATTGGCATCGGCCGTGATGCCCAGATCGTCCCGCCAAAGGGCCGCAAAAGGAGCTAATGGACCACCGGTGAGTTCGGTCTAGACGGGGCAGGGCATGGAGCAGCCGTTGCGGAGAATAATGATCCAATGCAGTGGGTCATTATCATCGCTTAGAAACAATCTTGAATGCTCGGACTCGGAGCTCAGGGCACAGACGACGAGGAAGAATGCGAAGGCCAGCACCGCCTCACAATTGTCGCTGTCCACATGCATGATTGCCCATCGGAATGCGGGAATTGCTTGATCTTGGTGCCGTATTGACTGGATTGTGTAATATGTTCGATTGCCGGGACCAGTGGAAGCGAGGTGGAGGGCAGAACAGGCTAGGACGCCGTGAAGTAAGAAGGGGAATCGGGAGGCCAGCTCTAAAACAATGACCCCAAACGCGTCTTCTGTCTCCGGGTTGCATGAGAGGGTTTTATAGGTGTAGGCTCGGTAATGATCTCTGCCTTAGGTGGGAACTGAAGGTGCCGTTCTCAGGCACTCTTAATATCCTATACCTAATGCAATCCCTTTCCAGCGTTTCAAGACCAGCGTGCGCGGTGGCCTCAGATACAAGATGATGTGGTAGGTATTTTGATAATAAGAATAGATTTTGGCGGAACCGCCCAAAGGTTAACAGTGAGCTTAGGGTGAGCAGGGCGAGTGCATAATAGACAAGGTAAACTACTCACCCTGTGCTCACCCACTGTCCTTTTTGGATCTTTAATCTAGATGTGCTGCTTTTATTTAGTTATTAGTTAAGAGTCAGAGCTGTGACAATGCAAATCACTTAATGTCAGAAGGTATAGTTTCTAGTCATTTCTGGGTAAATAAAGCTGCATGCAATCAAGTGTTAAGAGGACAACTGGTTCAAGAGCATTACTTTATGTTCGACTTCCTTTACTTAAAAGTCCACTTCGACAGGGTGAACATCCTGCTTTAAGGGAAGAGCAGACTTATCTCTATCATAGATCATTAGATCCAGCAACCTTAAGCAGAATATCCCTTTGTATTTAAGAGATCGCGACAATGGCGCCAAATCCAGAATACTGGTAGACTGCTGTTAATGCCATATAATAATCTCCTAATTTATTATCTCTATGGTGGAGTATGAGGGAAGCTAGTCACACTATTTGAAGTAAGCAATGCTGCACAGAACTAACATTTAATATACTCTGCTTTAGTGCACCAGTCACCTTTGTCATGGCTGTATTACACCTGACTATAAGGTTTGTTTGGATTCTTAATATAAGCCTTATAAGGATATGCCGCATAAGACAAGTACTAACTTTTTATAGCACTAAATTCATGTAGTATTCTTCTAGTAGGAGTTCTACACTTAGTATATTGTTAGTCCTATCCTAGCAGGTTATCTTTAACTTGAAGATTGAATCTGGCACTGCAGTGCGTATATTCATCAGGCTATGTCTAGATATGTCTTTTAGCAGAGGCTACGCAACCACTCATATGCTATTAACTCACAGAGATATGCATGACCTTCTTGGGTATGGCTCTTGCGAGATATCCCCATTCCTCTAGCAGATTTAATTATTACTTCCTAGGTAACAAGACTTAGATTCTCGTGGATATTCTCTGCCTCTGCCTGCACTCAGTTTCCCCCTTGCTGCTCATTGACGTCGGCACTGTATCGCGCAAATCGACTCTTCTGCCTCAGCTGCTTTCCAAACTTCAGGAACAAAAAAGGCGTAAAGGCGAATACGGTGGCCACAGCGGCGATGATGCTGGTAGCGACATTCGATCCGAGCCCCGAATACATCGGATACGCAAACAGGGGCATGCAGGCCGATGCAATACCGCGCAGAAAGGAAACCACCGCGAGACCCGTTGAAGCATAAATGGTATATGCATCGGCGATGTAGCCACTGAGGGTATATGAGAATTCGGTTGCCGCAAACCCAATCAACACCAGGCCGAACATGGACGCGATCCACGGCACGTGGACAAGAGGGGGAACGGTCCAGCCAAAGATCCAGAGCCCAATGGCAAGGGCTGGAGCTGCAATGGCAAATCCACCGATTTTGTCCTCCGGCTCGGGAGAGGCTCCTCCCCTCTGCCTTTTGTTCAGTTGATGATGATCCCAGAACCGCACTAAGCCGCTAGCGAGAATGCCGGGGAGCAGAGCTATGAAAGGTAAGGAGGTTGCCCTCGAACTCCAGCCAAACTCGCTATAGACCACTGTGAATGACTCGGTGAAGAGATACATCATCCCCCATGCTGAAGCGCTCAAGATTGAGACCAGTATGATAATGGGCTCTGTGACGCCTAATCGCGCCGGTTGCACCAGGATGACTTTGACGAGCTCTCGCGTGTTGCCAATGCGGTCCGGATTAGGGATATCCATGTCCAAGTTTCCGACCTTTGACTGGAGATGCTCGAACCGCTTGGAGAGAAGCGTGGTAGGTCGACTTTCACATATAAACAGGAGCAGGACAAACAGGACAGCGCATGTAATGGCGGCAGTGTAATAAACCCAACGCCTGGTCATCTTTGATCAGTATACATGATAATAAGTATACATGCGACCGAGAGGGCAAAACTTACCAGCCTATGGCACTGACAATATATGATCCGTACATTGGGCCGACACACAAGCCAAAAATGGTGGAGCAATTCCAAAGCCACAGCAACCATAGCCTTGGCCAGGTGGAATACAAATCCTCGATGCTCCCGGCGAGTACAATGGCCGGCACGGCAGAAGCATACCCCGAGATGAAACGGCCGACGAACACGCCGGCTGGGGATGGGACAACGCCGACTAACAAACACGAGACGCTGTAAGCGCCAGCTGATACTAGATAAGATTTCTTCCGGCCCATGGATTCAGAAAAAGGGGGCATGGTCAATCCTCCGAGGGCCTGCCCAACGCCATACATAAATTGGAAGCCGGTCAGCGTTATAACCCTACTCAATCCATACTCTTTCATCGCCGGCTCCGCTGCCGAGGGACCAGTCGTACTGATGACAGTCGTGTAGAACTCGAGGAAAAACATGACGACGGCATCATAGAGTTTACGCTGGATCGGCCAGTTGCGCGGGTAGTCTTCATGCTCAGTGTCCCATTCCATCGTTCTCGACCCCGTCCTCCGAAGGCCCTTTCGAGCAGCTTCGCGATGTAGGGTGTCCTCATCTTGTTGTTTCTCCCGGTCGTCAGTCATCGCTTCCGACAGGTTGTAAAGTTCCTGCTGTGTAACAGAGGAAACTTCTCCGCCCGGCTGAGGCTGAAGATATATGGCTCCAGTGCAGGGGCGTCATATTGAGGCTTCTGCCAAGAGAGTTCAGGCTGAAGATTGATATAAATGATGCGCAGAATGCGTAATATAAAAGAAAGTCGTGTCGGTGGGTCCATGACGACAGTTTGCTGTGAGGAGGATTGCGATAGGGAGTGCAAGTCTACTTTACTTGTACTTGTTTACAGTCTAAGCGTCAAGTGCTGGCAGCACGTATGTAAATAGCCTTCAAGAACAGGGCATCTGGATCGGTCATTCAATAGAGAAATAAAAGTAAAGCAGGCTGATGGTACCTTTGAGGCCGTGACCCATGGGGTAAAGAGTTCGTGTTCAGTTCGTCAGGTGTGGAGCAGTGTTTGGAGTGGTTCATGCAGATCAGTCTTTGCTAGCCATACAGACCAGTCCATTGGACCACTTCAGCCCTTAGCCTGCAGGACGAATCTCCAAAGCAAGGATTATCGAGCACATGTCATCACAGTTAAACTGAGAAGTGAACCCGAGTATTTGGACCTCCGATCTTCCCACCACAATGGACCCTGCTGGCGATCTATAGGTATACATATGACGTTATTGCCTAGTGCACCATCAGCCAACAATGAACATGTATGTTTCCTGTCCCATTACTCTGTTGATTAGGTTTGAATTGAGTATTCCAGGGACAATATGTTGTTCTCGAAACAGGATATTTCCGTCAACTATTCTATGGACATTTCGGGTTTCTTGAGGTAATGTTTGGTAGACGTTGTATAGCCCAACTATATGCGAGTTATATGACATCATTCCTCGACACTGATCGAATTGACATGAATATAACTTACAGTCCTCATGGTATAGTCCCGTGCGTCAATTCCGTAGTAGAACATAGATTGCAAGGCGGGATTTTCCGAAAGGGCAGCAGTTGATCGATTACATATAGAATATGAGGACCTGTGAAATCAACCTCCAAAAATGACTGCTATTGAGGCTATAATGGCTGCATTTCCATCTGTAAGTTCCCTCAGCAAGCTGCTACTGTAGTACTTAAATATGTGCTACACACTACTATTCTGCATCCACTAAGCACTGTTTAGTCACTATCCTAAGGTGCCAAACCTCAGTAAGCAGCTACTCTATTTCAACTTGTAATATAAGTGATGCTAATAATAGCCTCCTTAGCAGCTAGATCCAGGTCCCTTCAATTTAAAAAGATTGCCTATATGCTATATAATTTAGTGCCCATCCTCACTCCTTCCTTTTCCCCTCTAGCTGGGGTTGTTATTTTCGCAGGTTGGGCTGGGTTCACCTATCTTTAGACCCGGCCCATAACCTGGTAGGTTCTGGTCAACCCATTTAGGTTCTAAGAAGTAGAACCCAAACCCAACCCAACACAGGTTCGGGCCAGGTTAAGTTTGCGACTGGCTAGCATTGGGGGTAGACACCACAGACTTTGCAAGCAAGAATCTATTAGTAGATGGGTATAACTGCACTCTGGCTAATAATATATGGTATTGTGCACTCCTAGGACCTAGATATGATATTAGTAACTTAACTAATAACCTAAACTCCTACTAAGCAGACATGCCACTAGATATAGTAGTCAACTTAATATATAAGTACTATACTTAGTATTACATATCTAAGGGTTAGTTTATCTCCCTCTAATTCAATGCTAGGAGAATGCTTATTAAAATCATAGGAATATTATATAAAGATATTCTATCCTATGTAAATATCTCACTAAGCATATTCTATGCTTAGAAACTTGGGATAGATATGGTCAAGAAGCATCGTATTGAGCGTATGGCGTCCTAGAAAACAGCATCTACTCTGTACATATACGGAGTTTGAATGAATTAATAGATGAATATAAATACGGGATTCTCTAATATAAAGAAGCAGAGATCTGAAGAGCATAGCATAGGCAGCTGGCATTAGCAAGCATTTTCTGTAAATAGGAAAGATTATGGCTATGCACTGATAGTGGAATGCTTAGTATCACCCATTCATCCTAACTAATATACCTGGATTAGTGCCTAGTGGATCATACCCTCCTTAGGTGAGTTTTTCATAAGGCCCACTAAGATTATGCATACATAGGATGGTGATGTATTCACTAGTCATCACAAGCTCTCTGGATTACACCCATGCCAAGGAGTAACCACCCTGCATATATCTTATTAATATTAAGGGGTTCTAACTCCTGTTCATACTTCTACCAAATTATTAAGGAATATAGGGATCTAAATAACGATACATCATGCAAGACATTCGATTCGGCCCTGATCCTCCACTGCTAACTGAGGTGGAAAGATTCCAGAAGCTCGAACTGCAGGCGACTGCTGAATGGCGTGGAGCTTCGAACATATGAGGTCGAGCTTCTGTAGAAGTAGAGCCGTAACAGATAGCCTAGTGGAGGGAACGAGCCCAAAGCAGTAGATCAGGCCGATACACGAATTGACCCTTAAGCGGTTAAAAGTAGACATAGCTTGTTCCTCTTATACAGTCGGCGCGTCAGTGGAGATGCTGACTATTAATATCTCCAAACGCTAATTATTAGATACAGCAAGTCTAACGAGAATAATATGTAATACCCGCCTTAATCTAGAAGGATGACTACCAAGTCAGGTTTGGCTGAGAGGGAGAAGGACATGATCCTCTCGAATCCTGCGGCAGTGCTTGAGGTTGCCAATATTCCGTTAAGAAGATATGTCATGAATACAATAAATTGATCACCGATCTAACTAAGTTACCCAACTTTGTCTGCAATATTCTCTGGGCGTCTAATCTTCAAACAGGATCGTCGTGGCCAGGATTACATTGGCCAGTGCATGTATAAGATGAACATAAATCACCTGGCGTTGTGCCTGCACAGGTTTCCTCGGTGGCCGAATTGGCATACCCTTCCATCTGGAAATCCACCCCAGTTGCTGTCACCTCGACGACCTGGGAGCCTCCTGTCTGGAAACATGCATTTGCCAGACTCTCCATTCCCTCCGCACAAAGATTCTGGATCCCGGTTCCGATAGTATCACCGGCTTTGACAGCGCCAACAGTCCAGAGTCCCTGGCAGAGATACTGGTTGTTATTCCCACATTGGAGATTGGAGAAGACCAAGCCAACAACGGCCACAGAGTATGGCGTTAGAGCAACAACCCAATCGCAAAACACGCCATTCATGAATACCTGCGCATTGAAGGAAACCAATCGGTTTGCGAATTCCGGAGGGTCTGTACATGTAACAGAAATGGGTTTTATGGCTGCACGTTTGTCAAGCGACAGAGGAGAGTTCCCAATAGACAGAGAGGAGTTTCCAGATTGCCGGTATGCCGCCAAGGGCAGATCATCGGTTGAATTGCTCAAGATGAGCCCACTAATGTGAGCTCCAGGACCGAAGTAAGAGGGCAGTGCAAAGGTGCCGCCCAAGTTATCAATATAGATTGCACATGGGACGTGAGATGGGAGGGTGGCAGATGGGAGCGGACCCAAATGGTTTCGTTGGAGGTTGTGTTGGTACTGGCGAGTATCTGTTGGCCGAGGGCCAGAAGGACCGCGATGGAGGCAAGCAGACTGAAAGTCTTCATTGTCGGAAAGAATTGCGAAGGCAGGATAGTAGAGTTATGTTTTTGGGAGGGGTTGAAATATATGTCCAGGGGATGGGAACCGCCAGCTCTATATAACCCGTGAACCTCATCTCTGCTCTACATACACTAGTATAAGAATGAGACAAGATACCTGGCTTACGTGTAAGTTAATTAATAACACCATCAGCCAAATCAAATTGAGGTTGTCTAATCCAATTCACTACTGACAATTAGATGAAGTATGGGCGATAGTATCCTTTCTTGGAAGCTGAAAGGATTCAGGCTAAAAAGGTTAGAAGAAATCAGGGTTAGGAAAATATTCCGGATACTGGTTGGGGATCTAGATGTAGAGCTGAATTGTTACTGAATATGTATACTAGATTGTTTTTAACTGGTCTATAGTTATACTTTTTATGCCAAAAATGCTTAGCATACGGAGTACGAAGTCCGTCCGGTCTAAGAACCGGTCCATGTCGGTATCATTAGCTCTTAGATGTGATATGGATTCCATCAACCATAATAGCCTGATATGCGCTGGTTGTAGACTACCTTGTTGCCGCGTCTGGCTTCTGGATCCTAGACTGCGCTCGGAATCCTGTTGTGACTGGCGAAGGAGCCATCGACCCATTCCGCCTCATGGCGCCATGTTTTGAGGCCTATTCTATATTTCATGGCAATCCTATGGCCGGCTGGAAGCACGACGTTACATCGTGCTTTTAGTGTCATGACATTGGCACTTTCTAGTGAGATATGTGGATCTGTAGGGGCCTGAGAGGGTGCGCTTGTGCCAAATATGCTTAGCATACAGAGTACGGACTACGGAGTGCGTCCAGCGTCTGGTCTAAGAACTGGTCCACTAGCCCCCACGAGCTCCTGCGCGCCGCGCGGCGCGGAGATGACATCTGCATACAAGCTCTGCTAAGCCTCGGGCAGCTGTAAGCGAGCTATTAGTCCCATCGTGCATCCTAGCTCTAGCTGACTTAGCACCCTATGTATAACTAGCTAACTATCTACAGGTATTAAGCCTTCCCCTGTCGGCACTTTTCAAAGAATTTATAAAGAATCTACTCCGTTTCTCAGTATACATTGCCTTGTGCGTGTACAATCAGCAGTTTGCTGCCAGCCCCTCACAGAATCAGGCAACCAATTCTCTCCTCTCTTGTGCATCGGTCTAGATACAATAGCCCTGTCATTTACTTCAATCTGCAAATATGTTCTCGGATGTTTATGATCTGAATGTTCCAAAAGACTACCAGAATCAGGAAGCACCATTGGTGGTGAATGTGCCTGCTGTGCTGATCCTTATTGCCACGCTGGCCTTGCTTATTCTCGTAAGTCATTATCACGTTTGAAAGGAGCGCAGAGCTGACTATTGGAAGACAATTCATATGGATGGGAATGTTAGCGCCACCCTCGCTGCGACTTCAAAACCAGATATTGACGGACGACAAATCTCCATACGGAAACTTCGAGGTCTTCCAATGTTTATCACACATCGGCTGGTAAAGGTCTTTCTTCTTTCCAGACTCTCGACAGGGAGCTTTAGTCTCATTAAATGCTTTCTCTTGAACATATCGACTGAATTGCTACTTTCAACCCTTAAAGTGGCTAACATATATGTTATCCTCGAGTTAAAACCGGGGATTCCATTCTATCGAAGCATCTTCAGCCGGTCGATATGGGTGAATACTTTTCCAGCTTCATTGCTGTATAGCATAGCCTCAAGCATATGCTTTTATCTCCCTGTTTATGCTTTTCATCAACTAGAACCTTGGACCGAAGATGCCAGAATTTCTCAGGAGACACGATTGGCTATTATACTTGCGATAATTCCTATCCTTTACTTTGGGATTGTTGTTCCTGCATATGCAATTTTTATCCGAGTTGCTGCGCGGGCGCTCCCATCTCAAGACAATGTTAAAGCACGGGAAAATATACCTTTGAGTATCAAGAGCGCCTGGCAAAGCTTCACTTGGTCAGCTCGTATTGGTTTCTTTCAAATCCTCGCAAAGGTTCTACTATTAGAGATACTTTTCACTCTTTTTTTGTTTATGTTGGTCGTCTTCTTGTTTGACCCCTTCCTTCACAATGATGTTGCAGTATTTCTTGTCAAATACGCTGGCTAGTCTCGAAATTTGAGCAGTAAAATGTAAGTGACTAGTAAGGGTAATAAGAAGTTCGAGAAATCTAAATAAGTTTAAGATTTACTAGAGGGCTGGTGGCAAATATCTAAACGGAAGAGGGAAATAAAAAGTTGAAATGCAAAAGGGAGAAATCCAGGTATGTAATATACTCTTAATACCTACTACCAGTGCTAGTGTTAAGTAGCTTTTTAATTCTACTTAGCAGAGTTAGTGTACTGATATTCATCCGCAAGTATACACTCCTGCGCAGAGACTACCGATGCCACAAGGAAAGGGCCATCACGAGATCCATCAGAGGTCAGCAGATAGACTTTATCCCCAGCACAAAATCTTAGGTTCTATATACGAGCATGGCTAGTACCTGATAGCCTGCTGGCTAGGACGACTCACAGAAGCAGAACTAGCGATATATGGGCAGTGGTTCAATACCTCGCCTCCGCTGGCGCTGATCCCAACGCAAGAAATACCATTGGTGAGACAGCGCTGCATTTGGCGGTTAAGCAGAATCTCAGCACCGTCAGTATGGCCTGCAAAGGATCAACAAACGTACTCGTTCTCCTGGCATCGACTAGAGTGTGTTAGGTAGTATGCTAGTGCTCAGTGAGCATCATGGAATCTCTTTGACGATCAAGCTTCGTCTCTGATAAACACGTAAGCATTTGTATATCAACCTATACTGATGTCAAGTCGTCTTTTGTTACTAAGCATTGCCGGAGAAGCCATTCCATCGATTCTTATCCCTATGAGCTGCATTTGCCATACTCGCTCTGAGAGATCAAAATTCTAAACCCCAATGCACACATAGTAGTCCACCCACAAATTAGTGCAAGTCGCATCGATCTGGGTATTCCACGAGCGGAACTGAGCAAGCGAGATGCCCGCAGCGGTGTCAATCGAATAACAGCTGTCGCCAGACTTGACCTTATAGAAGGACTTGCAGTTGCTCACGATTCCAGGCATTTGTGGCTGGGGCCCCGTGGGCGTTGGCTGGGGCGACGAGCTGGTTGTCGTAGCGCCCGGAACGTGGACACAGACATAGTAATCCAGCCAGAGATTGGAGCAACCTAATAGAAGCAGTTAACTCTCTGGTGTACAAGACGAAATAGATACCAAAGGGGAAGACATACTGTTGTTAATGCTTGGATTCCAGGCCTTGAATTGAGCGTCCGAAATACCGTACTTGGCCTCAATCGTGTCGCACTGGTCGCCAGATGAGACGAGATGGAATCCGTCGCAGTTAGAGGGCACGCCAGGCTGGGTTGGCTCGTATTTAGAGGAGGAGGTTGTCGTTGTCGCAGTCGTCGTTGTTTTCAGTGTTGTGGAGGTCGTTGTGGTCGTGGTCTTTGGGTTGTCTGTCACGGTGCCAATGACACAGTAGCTCTGGCCAACGCTGAGGGTCGGGCATTGGACACCGGGGTTCAGGGCTTTGAATGATTCAAGGGTCTGTCCCCAGGATGCAGCGAAGGACTCGCAAGTATCGCCTTTGCTGGCTGCTACGGAGAAGCTGCAGACAATGCTAGCAGAGAGCAACTGAGGGAGCAACCCCAGGACGACGGCGGCTTTGTAACCCATGTTTAAATGAATTGAGAGAGAAAAGAGAAAGTTGGGATGTGGATCCTGGTTCTTGGACTCTTCGTCTCCGGGATGCTTTTATACTTATACCTGCGCTTCTATGTGCCCCTGCAGGTGCAGTCATGGATGTAACGTGTGAGTCAGACTGGCTTTATTCTGTACGTTCGGCTATTCACTTTCTTCGCGTAGCGCACCTTGGTGTGATTGACTACTGCAACTAATCCGGGAGGATTCGGACCTTGATACATCAAGGGAGCCGGTGGTGAATGGGCAGGTCTAGCCAAACCGTTAAATTGATTCACACGCGGTATTAACAATAGCCTCCTTGGCATTGCGGAAAGGACAGCGGGAGAAGCATGCTCTTGTGACATGTACATCTGTCTCCTGCTGGATCTGCCCGCCGGGTAAAGGCCTCTCCAAGGTGACATCGGGTCAGTCCTAGCTTCGGCCAAGAACTACTATGCATAAGCAAAAGAAACTACGGAGTACTAGATATGTGCCTACGGACTAGGTAGCTCCTAGTGCATCATACGAGACGAAGTATAGCAGGTTATTATCCTATTACAGAAATTTTCAAAGGACTAGCGTACAACGAATTGAACAGTCCGTGCAAGAGAAAATTAACATGTCTCACCGAGATAGTCCGTCTCATGATGCGAGACTGTAAGCAAGCAGCATTCCAATCGCCAATATCCAGTGCCCTACCACGGGTGATTGCGCCGCAGAGGCCGCACTCTCAGAGGATGGGGTTGGGCAGCTCAGCCCCGTGCGGATCGGGTTGGCACAAGCACTGGAGGCTAAGGCCGCGGAAATACTTGCGGCAGCTGTGGAATCGATCTTGACCTTGCAAGGATTGGGAGCTGGCGACGGACCCACAGTTGCTGCACAGGAAGGTGCGCCCCAGGTTCGTGTAGCCGGCACCTCCAAAAGATCCGGGACTTGTACGGCCTGGGCTTGGGATTGGTCGCAGGTATCATCCTCGGTTGCGGCGACGAAGTCCGGAGAGGAAGTGCCATTCTTGGTAGAGAAGTACAACTCATGGCGGCGTGAGCCAAAATATCCGAAAGTCAATGCGTCGCTTTGCGGAGAGTAAGAGCAGTTGTTCATCTGGAGCTCCCAGGCGAACACAAAGGTCCCCTCAATGTCCAAATGGCCGGTGCTCCAATAGAGAAAGTAAGGGTCACTTGTCGTATAATTGATCTTCGAGAGTTGGATAGAGCCAGAGGTAGAGACGCTTTCATTCGTGTTGACATTTTGCTGCTCAATATAATAAGAAATCTCTGGGTTCAGGCTTGACAGGAGGCTCGGGTTTTGGATGGTGAATACGATTGGGGTCACTGGCGAGGGGGAGTAGCTCTCATTGCGCGGAAAGATCAAGTCTATTTCCGTGACCCCAGGCGTAATAGGGGTCTGACTGTAAGCAAAGCCTAGACAGAGAGTCAAAATAAGCCAGCCCCGAGTAACCAAGCCCATCTTAGTCGCAGTGGTGATGGGGAAATGCAAGAGGGACAAGTTGATGGGGCCGGAATTTAGAGGAGCCGGCGAGAATGGTTCCTTAAGATGTTGGTGGTTTCTGGGCCCCTGGATATGGCTTAAATAGACTGATACTAAAAGTCACATCATTCCTTGTAACTTTAGCGAACTTGCCAGAATGCAAGAACGGTTACATCGTGCATGCAGCCAAGCCTCAACTCTGTGAGTTGAGGTTCAAGGATAGGGGCCTTTAGACAAGATGAATAGGAGGTTGATTTTAACTGAGGCCTGCCAGTGCCACTAGGGGCCTTGGCGTTTCCGGAGGCGTCCTGATCGTTTTGGTCAACACAAATTTATAAAAATACCCATACTTTTTGTAGTCTAGCAGTCTTTTTGGTTGACACAACCTAATTCTGTATGGAGTAGATTCATATTGTGCCAACCGGCTTGGCACTGTTAGTACTTTATTTCTCAGACCAGGTACTAACTCCGGTCCTCGATTCGAACGATGGACGGATAGTCGGAAATCCAACACTAAGTTAGTCGCCTGCCAGAATAAAAAAGCGCAGTTGTAGTTATAGGCTGTCGACGTTGCATTGTAGGCAGGAAAGTACAAAAGCCGCGAAACAGCCCCATTAGAGGATGAGAGGGCAGGTCTTTGGCTAATCACTCTTTTTTCCCTCTTAGTCGTTCTTTACTATTTCCACCCTTTGTCATTCTTTGATCATTCCTGTCTTCTCATAAGGTGGCACGATGACCCCTTCGTGGCTCCTAATAGCCGTAGGGTCCATATGCCTCTTGCTCTCTTGCGACGTTGCCTTTGCGGCACGAGGAAAAGTAGGCCTGAGAAATCCTGCCAGTCCTGGCTATCTCGGTAGAGATGCAGCATGTCCCGTAGCTTGCAGCGTCGCAGGACCCAATCCTTCCAACTGGTCTCTCTACCACAACTTTGAGCAGCTCCAGTCTTGCCACCAGACAATGTTTTATGATTTTTCTTTGTATGATCGAGTGGATGATCCAAGCACTTTCCATCGTCTCTACGCCTGTACCTCTTATGGCCCCGACTGGTCGAGTCTCCCACGCCCGAGCGCGAGGATGGCGGCCGCTGTCGATTCTATGAACTCAACCTATTCCCTTGGCTGGTGGAATGACGGACGACTCGCTACCTCGGATATTAGCTCCGTTTCTAAGCAGGTGCGCCATTACCTGAAGGGTCAACATGTCGCGGCCAAGAGCACCAAGAGAAACACATTCTTATTTGCTCGATCTGGCTCGGCCACTGTCGGTATTTACATTGGCAAGGGTCTGCAGAGTGAGGGGGTTAGCTCATTTGCTCTTAATGCGCTGTCAGATAATGTTCGGACTCTAAATATCAGCTCCGGTAATATTGCCATGCAACTATGCGATCCGAACAGCAACAATGCCCATACCTTCGGGATTTTTGCCTCTAGCAATCGGTCTTTTACTCTCGTGCAAAGTGCAATGAAAACTTGGTCGAACGGAGGTTGTCTCTCTTTCGAAAATGAAAAAAACATTACCGGTCCGGCTGTCCTTACCACTCCTCTCTTGAAAATCTCGTCCAACGCCACCCAGTCGAAAACTATCCGTTCGAGCTCAACAGTAGCCGCCGTACCCACGTCATCCTCCCACAGCAATATCGTCGTTCGGGCTGAATGCAGCACTGTACAGGTGGAAGGGGGAGATAGCTGCTCTGCTCTGGCCACAAAGTGTGGGATCTCTGCTGCAGATTTTAGCAAGTATAATTCTGGTCCGAACCTCTGTTCATCACTTATGCCAGGACAACATGTCTGTTGCTCGGCCGGCACCCTCCCTAATTTTGCCCCAAAACCTAACCCGGATGGATCGTGTGCTACATACACCATTCAACAAGACGACAACTGTGCAAACCTTGCTGCTCAATACAGTCTCACAAAGGAGGATCTGGAGGACTTCAACAAGAAGACATGGGGCTGGAATGGCTGCTCAAATGTCTGGGTTGGGACTGTGATTTGTCTGAGTAGTGGAAGCCCACCTATGCCCGACCCTGTGGCTAATGCAGTATGCGGGCCCCAGGTGCCAGGCACAGAAGCACCGGAGGACACTATGGATATTGCTGGGCTTAATCCCTGCCCATTAAATGCTTGTTGCAATGTTTGGGGTCAGGTAAGATGGTCCTCCTATAAGCAGGTCATGCAGTCAGTCCTAACTGGCTTGGGAATAGTGTGGCATAACAGATGAATTCTGTGTTGACACCAGCACCGGAGCTCCAGGCTCTGCGGAAAAAGGCACAAATGGCTGCATTTCTAACTGTGGCACTGAGCTTGTGCGCGGCAACGCCCCTGAGGTCTTCCGAAGCATTGCCTATTTTGAAGGTTATAGCTTGGGTAGTCGCAATTGTCTATACCAGGACGCCATCCAAATTGATGGGTCTAAGTACACACATCTACATTTTGCATTTGGTATACTCACAGATGATTATCAAGTCAAGTTCCAGGATGCTGTGACTGAATATGAGTTTCAGAATTTTATGAAAATCTCTGGACCAAAGAAGATCCTGTCTTTTGGTGGCTGGGATTTCTCTGCCCAGCCTAGCACCTACAACATTTTCCGCCAGGGAGTCAAAGCCGCTAACCGGCTAACAATGGCCACAAACATTGCAAATTTCATTAAGGAGAATAACCTCGATGGTGTTGACATTGACTGGGAGTATCCTGGAGTATGCCCTCCATGACACTGTGCTCTTGATAATATATGACTAACATGTCTCCTCCATATAGGCACCTGACATTCCAGGTATTCCCCCCGATGATCCGGACTCTGGTGACAATTATCTGGCCTTCCTCGTCATTCTTAAGAATCTGCTCCCTGGGAAATCGGTGTCTATCGCCGCTGCATCATCGTACTTCTACCTAAAGAACTTTCCCATTGCGAAGATCAGCAAGGTCGTGGACTATATTATTTACATGACTTACGATCTTCACGGACAGGTTGGCAACCAAACTGTATCCATCAAAATTTCCACACAGCACACTAATAAGTTCGCCTTGTATAGTGGGATGCAATGAATCCCAATTCACAGATTGGCTGCCCTTCGGGAATGTGCCTCCGCAGCCAGGTCAACCTGACTGAGACCATCAGTTCTTTAGTCATGATCACCAAAGCAGGGGTGCCCTCAAATCAGGTTGTGGTTGGCGTAACCAGCTATGGGCGATCCTTCGCCATGGCTGATCCTTCATGTCATGGACCAGAGTGCTTCTACACCGGAGGTCCTTACGACTCGCAGGCCACCCCAGGAAAGTGCACGGCCACCGGGGGTTACATATCCGATGCTGAGATAAATGAGATCCTGGAAGGGTCCACGACGAACGGGCTCCTGAAACGCGACGGCCGAGTGAATCAGCATTATGTTGATCAGACGAGCAACAGCGACATTCTAGTCTACGACAATACCCAATGGGTTGCCTACATGAGCCCTGCAACCAAAGCGTCGCGCAAATCCCTCTACAAGGGACTTAATATGGGCGGCACTACTGACTGGGCCACAGATCTCCAGCAATACAATGATCCTCCCACGCGTGGTGGGGTCCTTGTGGAAAACTGGGCCGCTTGGAAAACAGCTATTAAAAATAATGAAGACCCTTGGCAAGTCGGAGATAGGACGGGAAACTGGACTGAGGTTCATTGTACTGACCAAGCTGTTGTTGATAAACGTACCCTGTCGCCGTCAGAGCGATGGAACCGAATCGACGCTCCTCATGCATGGGCTGATGCGATTAATGTGTGGAAAACTATTGATAAAGGCACTCAAATGGCCTTCACGGCGTCTATCTCAGACACCCTTGACGGCCCAGAGAGTGTCAACTGTGGCACGTTAAAGTCAACAAGCAACTGTGGTGAGACTAAACAGTGCAAGGAATTCGACAACAACGGTGCTGGCCCAGCAGGCTATTTGATTTGGAATTCTTTGGTCTATGTTCATGAGGTATGATTGCGTGGTCTAAGGCTGTGGGCAGGCTTTAACCATAATTGTAGCTGTACCAAAGCTATCACAATGCCCTGTTCCAGGCCGCCGCTTCAGAAATCACCAACGCTCTCGACGATTTCGAGAACAAGTTTGCGCCAATACCTGAACCCGCGGACAATACATGGCTTTTGCTGCTGATCGATCTGATTACTCTTGGGACCGCGTCAGCAGCAGCCCCGTTCTTTAATTCAGGTATGTCCCTCCTGTGCTGAGCTCAACTCTCTACAACTCTTAACGCGGCGAGTTCGTGAGATAATAACCTTGTCTGCCAAAAGTACTGTCGAAGTTGCCGTATTTCATCGCGAAGGGGTCCACGCTGGACAACGTCAAAGATACTACTATGACCATTATCTCCCAAAGTACAACTATTGCCAAGGACTTGCTCAGCGACCCTGATCCGTATGTGTTGTTGCAAACATTTGCAAGAGTGTGCTGACCGGTGAATGAATAGTGATGACTGGACTCCAGAGAAGCAGAATGAGTTTACCAACTACATGGGCCAATCTATCGCGGGCTGGGGCGCAGTTGTAGAGAAGTCACTGAGCACATTATTCGACGGCTCTGACGCGTCAATCGAAATGCTGACAGACCTGATCTCCGATGGCAGATTTGTTGAAGGTTCCTCAATCAGCATGGCGCTACCCCCATCGGATGCAGGTGAGCTACCAAAAGATACGATGACTGCTCTGCAAAAAAGCATAAGCAAGTCGTTCTTTGCCTTTGCCATTCCTTCCATCTGGACGGTTTCCGGCAGGTACCCTTTCGTTATTGACGCGGGCTACTCCTGTGACCATGCGGATGACATGGGAGATTATTTGGAGGCTGATACGATGAAGGTGGCAAAAGCCTGCTACCGCAATAAGCGCTACTACCTTGCCGCCCCGGAGGGGCAACCATGGGAGTGCGTTGAGGGTAGCTGCCTTGATAACCCATTTTCCGCACTGCCTGGCGTGGACTCGATGGGTCAAGGCTCGTTTGGTAATGTCACCGTGGAGGATATCATCATAGGATCGGTGCGTACGTACCTGCAGAACGGCGAGACGAACGGCGGCGGCGCAGCCGACCCTGCAGACGAGGGCACACTGGAGGATCTCTACAACGACGACATAACCACGCCAGGGATGATCCGCTTGCCAGTATGTAGCGCAGAAACCGCCTACCGTGCATGGGACCACGGCGACACTCCGGATACCGATGCCCCGAACTACCCGTGTGTTATTTATCCAGCGCCTGACTATTGCGGCAGCTCCACGTTCGTCGACCAGACCAGTGACGCGTCCCCAACCGTGTCGGACTGCATGCAGATAGTGAAGAATATTGCAAAAACAGACGGTAAATGGGAGGTTGAAAACGCAATTGGGTCCCAACACCAGCTTGTGCAGTATGGGACGTGCGCTTTCGGCGTGCAGGGAAAGGGTAAGCATGGAAACATTGACTTCCACATCGGCGCCCAGGATATTGTGGACATCATCAGCGACTCAGTGAGACAATTCGGCGGATCTGGCAAGGTTGGCTCCAAGGGCAAGATGTCTTGCAAGGGAACTGTCAAAGGCCAAACAGTTGAGTGGGGGTTGTATCATGATTAGGGGGATCCTAGCTCGGGAGTAGTAGGATTGACTACTCTGAGTTGACTGCTAAACTGATATGAAAATCGACTCTCCATAGGAAATGCTAGGTATGAAGAAGGCATGAAAAGGCGATTAGTAACTCACACCAAAAGTGTCTCATATACGCTTGTGACTGTCTTGTTCTTGCCTTTAAACGTCCTGTAATCTGACCGACCTTGGCGGTGTTTAGAACCGTAGTAGAGACCCTGCGATCTGGCTGAGCGCTTAACTAACTATAGAGTTGCTTCCTAAGTAATACAGTCAGTGTCTCGCTAGTCACATGAGAAAATCGGTTCTATTTCTCTTCCCAGATCTATAAAGTCTCCTAGCCGAAGAAGATAAAGTTCCACTGTGCCATTAATTCTCGCGCTTTCCTGACTGTCAGGACTAGCTATGATAAGGGAGCACCTGCCGAAGTACGTGACTTGAGACGCTTGTCACAATTCCCATTCAAAGCTGTTATCTTTGAAGACAGATCTCTCCACGCATCAAACTCGCAAACCTACTTCCTCTTCTGGGATACACAGTTTCGACGGGGTTCTTCAATGGAATGGGCATTAAAAAAAAATGCTATTGTAGGATCAAGGTACTGTTGTAAAGTTTGTTCTTGCAGTAGGGATGAGGGCATTGAATAGCCTCCTCCTTTACTCTGCCAGCCAAATGCTTATCATTAATATGGTTTATCAGCGTAGATATTCTCCTGCTATTATTGGAATCATTACACGGGTACTTTAGTATGGTCACCTATGTAGAAAGGACAGAATCCAGGAGTAACTAATTACTATGTAAATTAGAATTGTAATAGTCTATAGCAAGGTCGTAGATGGTCTAAATAGTATTAGCAGTTGCTCAGTCCAAAGTACCAAGCTACTAAGCTATTCATTTCCCCTATTTCTATCTCATGTGTACAGAGTTCAGAGAAACTATGATCCAAACAAGGCAGTGTCCCAAGATGGAAGCTCACCAGTGATTCGCCATGTGACAATAAAATATGCATACTATAAGACTTTATACTATGATATTTACTCTATTTATTAACGTATAAGTACCCGCCAAGAACCCATAGGTTTGATATCCATACCTATAAGGCTATACCCCACCCACAGGCTGTAAGGTCGGCCATTAAGGTCCGAGGTCAACTGGTAAGATCAGCGTGAAGGGAGCAAGATAACCGTAGATTGCCTAAGCAAAGAGAACTAATCGCTGAGTTGCAGAATACTCGGCAACTTGCGGAGATATCTACAGTGTATCACTTGATCTGGTATCCGTGTCAGCAGCACACGCACACCGGGAACCTGGGTGTGCCTCACCGTAACCACCATGTAACTCTTGTATGGCATCACCATATAAAAGGTACATATAGTTTATCCAGTCTAGGTATATACACACTTAGGTTTTTCTAGTTTATTATTATTTAGATATATAAGTATCTATCTTTTATTACTATCTCTATGCTTAGAAAGGAAAGTTATAAGTGTTATAATAAAGTAATCTCTCTTTATATTTTTCCATAAGGAGAGACTTCTAGACAGAAAGTTCATGCATTCTTATATCTCCCTAATTTTTAGTTAAAACTCTTAAAATGCTTTTGACTATAAGATATTTCCTTTTAATATTTTAATATTACTTTATAGAATATGGTTACCCTTAGTGAATACAGTAGAATACCTGAGATATTAGACTTAGTATGTACCTTTTATATGGTGTTGCCATACAAAAGGTACATGGTGGTTATGGTGAGGCGCACCTACACCACAGAGCACAGATATAGCTGCACTATCACCGGTGGCTGCATACAGCAGCTTTATGGTCCGCCATAGCCCTTAACACAGGCTGAGGCCATCGACCCAAAACCCGCCAAGAAATGGGTTTGGCTTGGACCCAACCCGTCAACCCACGGGTTATGGCGAGGCCTAAAAACTCTACAAAATGGCCATATCTATCATTAGTGGCCGGAGCCCTTTTCTTATGACTAATTTGGTTTGGTTTGCCTTTTTTTTATATCTCCTAGTACTCTGTTATGAATCCTTATAACTTAGTAAAACTATAGAGCTCCTCCACTTCTCCCCTATATTAAGGTTATTTAAAGATGTGCCACATGACATGCTGGGATGTGAGGGGAGACAGAGACGAAATATATCATAAAAAGAACACTGCTTGTAGATAGGAAGAGAAACAATGGTTAAGTAGAGAAGAAGCCCTCATATTTAAGCTGGCGATGGAGGTACTAATAATGGGCTGCAGGGAGTCTAGTCACCACAGAATAGCTCTCTCACCTACTGATCACCCATGCTCACCTTCACTCACCTTTACTCACTACACTCACCCTGTAGTTTAGTATTTCTCACCCATAAAGCAGCAGGCCTTCAAGGGCGCATGAAACTTCTGACTGTGTTGATAATACTAGCTTAAGTACAGCTAAGCAGACTGGAAGCCCTGTTTTCTACACCCTATAGTTATATTATGGGAGTGTTTCCCGATGAATGCACGCATATCAGAGTGCTAAAGAGCTGCAGGAGTCTGATGAAGACAGCCAGAAGAGTGAGAGGATGGTCTTCTTTTGAAAAGGAAGTACCAAAGGAGTAGTATAGAAGCGCGTGTTCAAACTCGCATATATATAAGCATGGTTAGTACCTGATAGCCTGCTGGCTAAGACGACTCACAGAAGCAGAACTAGCGATATATCGGCGATCTTCCTTATCTGAAAAGACGAAATTGTCCTTTGTGTTCCTAAGGTACGTCAAACAGTAGGTCGAGCATAGTTGACTAGATATGTACCTTTCAGAGGACATAGTTATGTAAGACTCAAACTGCTTATGGGGGATATTTAGTTAATTTTCTATATCCTTCCTATCTAAGCTCTGCCGGTTGGGGCGGTTTGATACTGGTAAGATATGGTTGACAAAGTGTATACCCACAAATTCGGATGGGAAGCCTGTTTTCCACACCCTAGGGTTGTATCTGCTAGATTAGTAGATACAGCAGTATCTATAGTAAATAGAATACTTAATTACATCAGTGTTAAGCATGTCTAGTAGTTACCTGCTATTATTAGCATTCACCACAGTAGGTGATAGTACTTGTTAGTAGGAAATGCATCTGTGTCATTGACTTATGGTGGAATACTAGAATACTATAGACAGATTAGTAGGAGATAGTATACTGGATAAGGGACACCACTGCATTTATTCTAGCTGCCTTATATAGTTACTAAATCTTCTGTCTGGTGTTAATAGCTTCTGGAAGGTCTTCCTTTTTTTTTTATTAGAGGGCTAATGGGCAAGAAAAATATTGCTCTAAATACTATATATAAGTATACTATTTCTTAACCATAACACAGCAACCTTTCTATAGTTACCTCAATCACAGGAAACCGGGCCCACTGTGGGAAGTATATATATAATTAACAGACAACAAACAGACAGACTAGTTATACTGAAACAGAATGACAACAAGCAGAATTTATATACTCAAGGACTCTTGATGTCCAGTGAAAAGAGAGAACATCCAGGAGAAACAACCTTAAATACTTGGTGACATATATCTGTGTACCTTCTGCTGCATAGGTACACCTACAGGAAATAAGTCAGCTGCCCAGCCATCCCTGTAGACAGGTAGCACAGCATGTACGTCTGTCAGTCTGACAAGGTGGTGTGTTCTGATACCCTTTCCAATGCCATCCAGACATTACAGACTAATATTGCAAAGTACATATTAGAAAAGACTTAGTATGTCTTTGACGTTGGTTTTGTAACAGGATATGAGCTCGGCCACCGGGATGCATCACGATGGGCAATGCTAGTATCAAACCGGCAGTTAATATCTTGTGACATGCAGGACAAGCTTATCCAACTTGTCAAGTCTGTGGAACATAGAGAATTTTCCCTCAGTAGATAATAACTCCACAACGCCAATATCTACAATATAGTGACAATTGCTTCCGAGAAATCCTCCAAAGCCTCGGAACATTCGGATGCCTCTGGAGCTCCAACCTCCATTCGAAAACCCTCAGTAACGATCCCAATCCGCTCGTACTTGGTCGAATCTCTCGGCGACTTCCCTAGAAGGAGGTAAGCGTGATCCACCCGTTGGCGATTCCCCCCTTTCCTGATACGACCAACACAGTGGTACCCAATATAGAATAGGAAGACCGGTGTCCCGGACTCGGCCTGTTTCGTCGATGACCCTGGCAGTGATCGACGTACGGACCTTTCCACGACACCATTCTCGTTGGTGAACTCGAAAGTCTCCAGTGCCATATCGGCTTCGGGTCGGAGCCTTTTGGAGCCATGAACGACGACATATGTCTTTTTGTCTGGATCTATAAGGCCGGGTCCAATTTCCAGTGTCGTTTCAAGTAGAAGCCCTCGTAACGTCACATGCGCACTGTCTATGGGGCCCAGTAGGTTTTGACCTGCTACCTTGCAATCCGCGTCGAGAACCGTGCATGAGCGTGCCGAAACCCACCCAGGACTATAGAAGATTCTATGCTCAATTGACGCCCAGGAGAACGTGGGAGCGCCGTAGTTGACAAGGGGAATCACCGTGTGGTTGGCCTCGATGTTGTCATTCTCCATGCACGCTTGCCAACTAAGATCAGCTACGAGATTATCCAACCAAACGCCAGCGATATACCTAGACTTGGTAATACCTTGGACGACCTGGGCGATACCCGATATTGCCGGCAGTTTGTCGGACTTAATAGTCAGCACCCGAGTGGTAAACTCGGCGACCACCTCGTGCCAGTCCTTGTATGCCTCTTGCGAGTCTGTGATGGAGTAGAACGGCCAGAAAGAAAAGATCTTGCTTTTATCGCGGACCCGGTCAAGCATCCCGCATTCGCATGCGGACCCTCCCAGACAGGACCACCACAGTTCCTCTTGGTGGTAGCCGAGCACCCTCGTCGAGAGGTTACTCTCCTGCAGGGTCCAGCCCCGGAGCCATAACGGCGGCGTGTCATCGTCCATCAAATCAAGCGTGTTTGTTGTCTCGGCAGGGACCATCCTTGCACCCAAAAGCGTGCGCTGGCCGGTCGAGGTCTCCCATTCAATAATCAGGGGAGGTTTCTGCCCAGCGGCAAAGTGCTCGTGTTGAAGGAACCCTTCCGTGACGCATGCCGCGGTGGCGGCTGAAATGGTCAGATAGGCGTTGCGGTAGACAGATGCCATGCTGCTGGACTCGATTTCCCAATCAGACGCCGAGTCTTGGATAATGCACAGTGCATCTATCCATACGTATTGGACTTTCAGCTTGCGGGTCACGGTGATGGCGTCTCGGATCGTCTGTGGGAGATCTGAAATTGATATGCCTTGTTTCATGGCTCCGTAATTGGAAGCTGTCGTCTTGATGGTTTCGAGACCTCCCCAGCAGTAACTGAGAGCAACATAGCGGTCTTGAGAGGAGGGTACCGTCTCGACCACTCGAACCTCGGTGTTTCCAGGTACGCCCACGTCGATCAGACGCGTTGGGACGTAAGTGGAGGTCGGTCTGCATGTTGGATGTTGCTCGCACTTTGCAAGGCATGACTCGATGAAATCGTCTGCTGCCTGCGAGTCCGGATGGGTGCTGAGATCGCGGCCGGTCACGATGCCTTGCCACGCAGGTGGTTGTCCTGTCGACTGTCAGCTTTGAAACGCATGTTTGGATTTTTCATCGCATATCTATGGATCTTTACCTGAAGGTGTATAGATCTGGACTGTACTGTAAGTTAACGGTTCTAGTATCGTGCTTTCATTGTTCTCTTGCATACAGAGCATGACAAAGTCGCCGGACGCAAGCTCAAACTCAAAATATCGGAGACATTCCAAGATAAACAGACACACACGGCATCCGCGTGAGGCCACAAAGTCCCTCAAGTATCTCACGTTAACATCCGAGTTACCAGGACCCCCGCCGTTGCCCGCACGTTGAGCGGAATACTTCAAGTCGAGACAAACGTCGCATGTCTGGGACATTGTGTCGCCGGGTTGGGGTGATTCTTTGCTCTCATCTATCATGACTCATTTCCCTTTCTGCGACATCCATCCATTTCTCCTGTCTGTTGTTGAATGGGATGCGGCTCTTGAGATCATTTCGTGTCTCCCACCACCTGTAGTCCCCGCTTATCTCACAGCCGGAGCCTAGTACCCCGGATATGCAAGGGTATCCTGGCGTTCAATCCATGTCATCCTTTCAGTTGTTGTCAGAGCTGGCGCGAGGCTGCCATTGGCATCAGACGGCTGCCTATTGGCGCCGTGCACTGCTGCCCGATACTAATTTCTAACAGCAGTTTAATCCTGAAGCTGTATTGTTCCTGTCAGCTTCATGGAAAGCTAGCGGTCGCCTCACTCTGTTTCGGGGACCACCATATCCGTCAGGATGGATATGCTTGCTTTTGGCAGACTAGCCTCACCATCACATTGCCATTTCTACTGCTCAAAACCCATGGCAGGCGATGTTACTGGCAGCTGGGCCTCCCGAGGTCACACGGGTTGTTCTCTGGGCTCCTGCTCACGCGGAAGCAATAGACATCTTCTAGGCACCAATATAAAATGCGGCTTTTGGACTTGACATCATAAGCACGACGGACTTCGCTCGAACAAAGACACCTCAGCGCGAGAAAGACCCTCTAGAAGCAGCCTTATCACCAAAATGCCCAGAAAAACCGACGCGGACGACCGGAAGAACCGACTCGACGCCGAGGCACAAGCCGCGATCGCCGACATGAGGTCCAGAACACCCCCTAGACAACTGGGAACCTTCGACGCCTGTTGGGCCGGAAAGCAAGTAACCCCAATTTCCCATGTTCTAACCTTGCTAACAGCTCGTGTGCACCGCAGTGCTTCTCCGGCAGTCAAGCAGCAATACCTGCAAGACCGGAGACAGAACTATCCGACAGCAGCGAAGAGAGCCGCTGCTGCTGCCGCTCGGCCGGTTGCGAGTACCAGTTCGAAGACTGTCGTGACGTCGAGTTATAGCTCCGGTGGGAGCTCGAAGCAGGCTACCAGCTCGTCGGGCCATAGTTCTAAGAAGACTTCTTCTGGTACCTCTAAGAAGACTCCGACTGGTACTAGTTCCTCTAAGAGTACAAGCGGATCACGCAAACGGTATGTGTTTCTTGGTATGTGGCAGAGGGAGTATACTTACAGCAACAGGTGACATGTATACTACTACGCATAATGGATGCGGGAAATGGGTGATATTCATGCTGCTCGCGTCGCCTTCGTTCTGAGCTCCATCAGTCACGCGTTTAACTCTCTGTTGATGAGGGCGGACTGGATGGGGCGGTTTGCTTGTTGAAACTATGCATAATTGTTCAGATAGGTAGATATTCGTTGTGACGAAGATGTGGAATGATTGTTGTTATTGATATGAAAACATAAACGTTCATTGACTAGATGGCCTCGTGGTGGAATACCATGGACAGATCGGTAGGAGATGGTGTACTGGACAAGGGATACCACTGCATCCATTCTAGCTGCCTTATGTAATTACTGAATCTTCTATCCAGTGTTGATGGCTTCCGGAAGGTCTTCTATTCCTTATTAGAGGGCTAATAGACAAGGAAGTTGTTGCTCTAAATACCGCACATAGGTATGGTGTTGCTCGACCACAGCACAGCGAACCTTTCTATAGCGGCATTGATCGCAGGCGGATGGATCACAGACAGAAGAAATTGACAGAAACAGATATAACATGCTTATCACTCTCCATCACTGACTGCTAGTACTAGTCCTCGACTTCCTCCATACCGTTCGTCAGTTATTGCGACGAGGCCAAAGCGACAGTCAACATAAAGCTTCGAAAAGTGTTGGCCATCTTGGCCAGGCACTAAGCAGTGGCGTGGCTAGTGACAGAAAAGCTTGATTTTCACCATCTTAGTGTTGTCATACTTGACTCTTGGCCTCTGACACGATGAACTTTCACGGTAGGGCCTGGTGATGGAAGGGTTACCCGCCGAATGCACGCTATATAACTATGCTAAGAGCTGCATAGTCTGATGGAGACAGCCAGAAGAGTGAGAGGATGGTCTTATTTTGTAAAGGACGTACCAAAGGAGTAGTATAGAAGCGCGTGTATCGAACTCGCATATACAGGGTGACAAGGATATCCCTAACCACCAACCACCGACCCTCGAATCAAGGAATCAACAAATTCCTAATAGCCTGACGATTTACCCAGGCCAATCGCGCCGCATAATACGTCCCTCCCCCCAGCAATCCCATCACCAAGCCCGAAACCGCCATCAGATCCCAGTTCCTCGCCTTGTAAACCGGCATCCGCATATCCGCCGTCTGGAGATGCATCGGCCGCGTTTCCTTCCCATCCACAACCCTCAGCTCCGTATCATACAACACCTCCTCAATAAGGTCCGCGCCCAGCTGCTTCCGTCTAGACGCCACGTGAGCGATCCGCTGCAGCCGTAAGACATTGCGCGCGTAGCTCCCTTCACGATCTTCCAGGATTAGCTTCGTCTTAGTGTAGACCTCCTCCGCCGTGAAGCGGAACTTGTGCAGAACCTCAGATGTCCCGCTGCCGGCTAGTTTGGCCGCGTTGCCGATCTGATCGAAGAAGAAGGGCATGGCGAGCATGGGTTTACCGTGGTAGAGGCCCTCGTTGGCGCTGGATCCGCCGCCGTGGGTGAAGTAGATTCGGGCGTGCGGGTGGTCCAGGATTGACCGTTGCGGCGCAAAGAAGGGGAATAGCCAGTCGGCGTGTTTTCCGGCTAGGAGGTCGCCGAAGCGGATGGTTTGGCCGTCGATGGTGAACTGGTCTGCTGTGTCGAAGAGCTGCCGTCCGCTCTTGCCTACGGACCAGATCACGCCGTTGATGAGCCCTGCATCCATCGCCTGGATGAGCCCGTGGATGATTTTCCGAACATCCGCGTGCGGCAGGATGATGTGAGTCCCCAGCGCGACGTAGATGGTTTTCGGGTGCTGGTCCAGGAAGCGCTGGTGGATGTCATCCAGCGGGGGATATTCATCTGCGAGGATGGGTCCCACGGCAGCAACCAGCGGAGGGAGGTCCTTGGGGACTTCCAGACCGAAGAACGAGTTCACCAAGACCAGGTAGTCCGGTTTCGACGGGGTGGGAAGAAGATAGTTCAGACCCGCGCGTTTGCGCATCGCCTTGGTCCATTTCATAAGTTTCAACGCCTCGGGCAAGGCACGCACGACCACCAGCTCGTTATTGATCCGAGACCACATGGATGCATTCTCCGACGTCAGGGTCATGTCTAGCTGGAAGCCCGGCTGGCCGGGGATATACGAGCAGGGGACCATCATGTACGGCATCTGGGGCCACACGATGGCGATGGGCAGCTTGTACTCGATATGGATATCCTTTACCGCGTCGACGAAGAAATCCGCGACCATCATATCTGGTCGTGTGGCGGGATCGGCCATGATCTCCTTCAGTCGATGGTAGGTTTGCGTCCATAGCGAATCAAAGAGGTATTTGGAGTCCATAACATCCCCAAATCCCTTGGTTGGGTCCCAGAGTCGGCTTCGCTTGTAGTGAGCGTCGAGCTGTTCTTCTGTGGGGCCTGGGCCCATGAGATGCGTGCGCGATATTGGGAACCCGTCTGTCCATTTCTCTTGACCATCGAGCGTAGCAAAGTCGATGACATGGCCTCGGCTGGCGAGAATCTTACCGAGTTCCAGGACGGGTGCTAAGCCGTTAGAATATATGGATTCCATACATGCAGTAGAAGGATGTGACTCTCACCCGCGTGAGTATAGCCTCCCCCCGTAACTACTACGAGGATCTTCCTTGGAGTAGTTATTTCTGGCATTGTGGAACTGCACAGGAGCTTATCTCTAACTCTAAATAATTTAAGCCGGCTCTGAGTCTGGACGGCGAGAGATTAAAATACCTCGATGAGCACGGATCCTCGGATGCATCGAGCCATTTGTCTCGCCATAAAAAGCCGCCGATTGACTCCGCTAGTTCCAGGATAAACGCCAATCAATACAACATGTCAGTGTTATAGACAGGGATTGTAGCTAGCTAAGAATGGATCTATGTCGTGTCTTAGATTTCAAAGTTTATGGTACATGGCCCGTCTCTTTCCCCACGCTTGATCAATCCATTACGTATATACGCTGTCATGACTTACTCAAAAGGTATATATCCATAGTACTGCTACCGAGATTTAAGACCATTTTGCACGCAGACGGCACGTCCTTGTGTGAGTCGTGGTCTGACTGTCTCGCTACATACACATCCAAGGTCATGGTTGGAGACAACATTCCTAAACTTGCGGTTCTCATCGACGCGGATAATGCGCGCTCCTCCGTTGTCAATCTCCTACTTTCTGAAATCGCAAAATATGGCACAGCTCATGCGAAGCGGGCCTATGGGGACTGGAGTAAACCTGAACTACAGGGCTGGAAGGATAAGCTCCTTGAGCAATCGATCCAACCAGTCCAGCAGTTCGCGTATACGCACGGCAAGAATGCGACCGACTCAGCTATGATTATAGACGCGATGGATCTCCTATACTCTAGTCGGTATGATGGATTCTGCCTTGTCTCAAGCGACAGTGACTTCACCCGGTTGGCTGCTCGAATCCGCGAGTCAGGACTAACTGTGTACGGATTCGGGGAGCATAAGACGCCGCGGCCCTTCGTCACTGCCTGCGACAAATTTATCTACACCGAAAACCTCGTGCACATCGATGAGCTTGTGCCGCATTCTGACAGTGCTCACGTGGGGAAAAATCGTTCATCAGCCCTGCAGACTCAAAATGACAGCGATTTAGCAAGTCTGCTGCGGACGACGGTAGAAGCAGTCTCCGATGACGATGGCTGGGCTCGGCTGTCTACCGTCGGCCAGCTACTCACCCAAAGATACCCCGACTTTGACCCTCGTACCTATGGATGCCATAAGCTCAGCGATATAATCACCAACTTGCCTTTCTTTACAACTGCCCGCCGCTCCCTTGGAAAGGGCTCAGGCACGGAGATCTTCGTACACGATGAGCGTCGGAAGCCTAAGGATCCATGCTAAATGTCTATATACATCATCAATCCCTCCCCGTCAACCCTTTGTCTGGTTAATTAGTTGAAATAGTCTCATCCACGTATATTATTATTGCCTTCTCTTACACAAGTCCTCCACCTTCTTCTTCTTTTACGAGTTATTGACGAGACTCGGAAAGTAATAGTTCAACCTCAAGGGCTGTACGTACGCGAGATAGTGGGTAGCAATAACGTTATTAAATTGACTGCCACCTGGTGGCTCTGCAAAACATCCCGTTTCGATTCCGGCGCAGAGCGTAAGTCTTTCCCCGGGCACCGACCTGAATCTCATGGCCAAAATGAGCCAACAGTGCTCGTTCAGGCATTGCAGACGACATCGAAGGGCACCTTCATCGTGGATCCGTCTATGTGACTCCCGTTGAATCTTAACCAATGTTCAAAGTGTAACTATCGCGTTATATTCAAGAGAATGAAGAGAAATTAGCAGTGCCTCTTGGCTCACATTTCTACGGCAAATAGATACATCTCCCACTGGCTGCCTGGCATCTGTCATGTCACATCGAGACTACTACCTCGGAACTGCGCTGTTACAATGACTGAATAGGGAACCAATCAACTATAACTAGCGTATTGTATCAATTGCTTTGGACTACAGCCTACAAGTTAATGGTCGTTGATATAAGGTCTCTTATGCTTCTAGGGCTCAGGGCTTGGCGCTGTCTGTTCCAGTTCCACAGCTCATGCAAGGTCAAATATGTCTAGAAAAACAATAAAGACAAAAGAAATATACAAGTATTGGTAGTGGTACTGTCAATCAGCTCTTCATGATACACTGCCTAGCACTTCGATAGAAGGAGCATGTCTGGGGACAGGGCAATCTTGATTCTGTCTATAGCTCAACCAAAGTCATTGTGGCATGCTCTATACCAGCGACAAGGCGAGTGTACACAAATGAGGCTGCCTAGAGATTTATTGACCAAAGCTGCGTCTCCAACTTTCTCAGATATCATTGGAAGCGGGTAGTAAATAAGGATAGATGCATATTATCGTCATCATCATAAATTATATAGGAAGATATCCAAAGCGTTATATACTTGATACAGGAACAAAGATGAACCCTCAAAGCGCCTCAGCAAGCCCGGTCAGCAACTCGCTCAATCCATACGCACCAGGATCAGGCACCTTGCCGACCCATTCCTCCTCGCCACCGACGTAGACGCTCCGCCCGAGACTCGCCTTCATGTTCTTGGTGGCTTCAGTCCCATCCTGCGCGGCCTTTGCAGCCGCATGTACGTCCTTTCTTTCGACCAGCGTGTTGCAGAAGGGAACTAGTGCATCGATCAAGGTGCGATCACCCGGCTGCGCGGGCGTGTACTTCCCTAGCGCGGTGATGGAGTACTTGAGAGCGCTGGCCCAGACCTCGACCGTTGCGGGGGTTGGGGTGCCTTGGTCTTGGGCGCGGAGACCGTGGGCAAGCGCGTTCAGGAAGATGGAGTAGATGGCGCCTGATGTGCCATCCATGGTGTTTTCCACAACGGTTACGATGCGGTTGACGGCGGTGACGGCGTCGTCGTTCAGGTTGGACGATGGGTCTTCCAGGAGGGCGAGGACGGCTTCTGCGCCGCGCTTCAGGCCCACGCCGCAATCGCCGTCGCCGACGATGGTGTCGTACCGGGTGACCAATGCTTCGGCAGCAATGACTCGCTTGAGTGCGGATCCGAGGGCTTTCTTGAGAATGGCTGGGTCCACTGTAACATTATCAGCGCTGTGAAGAGGAGATAACCGATGCCATAGGCATAAGGAGACTCACGCTTGATTTTGCTGGGTTGGTCCTCAGCAAGCTTGGTGCTCTTGACCTCTACAGGAGCATCGGACTGGTGTGCCTCCCATGTCGATGTGCGGATAGGAGCAGACCAGCCCACAGCTTCGGCAGGCGCATCGAGGAGCTCGAGCATAGATTTGCCAGGACCCAATCCTGTATCCGCGAGCTTCAGTAGTGAAATACTGAAGCCCAGTCCGTTGAGACTGGTCAGGAAGGTTCCTTGAATGATTCGCACAGGCTTGACGTTGAAATCTTTCGTGAGCTGTCGGTATACTTCGTCCGTGATACCTGAGAGCTCCAGGGTACTGACGCCACCCAGGTTGTTGATGAGCAGCACCAATTGATCGCCTGGCTGATGGGTCAGGAAAGCGCGGTCTGGGTCGTTGTGGTCCAGGATCTGCAAGAGCATAGTCTTGATCACCTCTGGAAGAGAGAACTTCATCCGGTGGGAACCCGGTTCGTTGTGAATGCCCATTCCGACCTCCACTTCCCCATCCGGAATCGTATCCTCCGGTACTCCTCTACCCGGGATATGGACGTGCTCCAGAGAGGAGCCCACAGACGCAAGGTTGGAGTTTGCTAATTGAGCAATGCGGTACACGTCTTCCAGCGATGCCCTGAGTGACGGTTAGCTGTCGTCTGGAATCATGCTACTATCGACTTACCCAGCCTCGGCCAAGGCTCCGACGATCTTCAAGATGAGGATGCCACCACCGATACCGCGACGGCCAACTTTTCCGCCCTTCTTCTTGCCGACGCCCGCGTCGTCATTGATGGCAAAGAACTCGGTCTTGATTCCGGCAGCCCGCGATTTCTCGGCAGCCATGCCAAAGTTGAGAACGTCGCCGGTGTAGTTCATAGGTATGATCAACACGCCCTTTTCATTGTCGACGCAGTTCATGGCAGCATGGCGAATCTGCTCGGCAGACGGAGAGGCGAAGATGCTGCCGGCTACAGAAGCGTCCATGAGTCCATAGCCGACATAGCCCGCAAACGCAGGTTCGTGGCCGGAACCTCCACCCGAGATGATGGCCACCTTGGGTTTCCTGGATGCATCTGGGCGACGGAAAATAACCTTGTGTTTCGAATCAAATGCGAGCGATGGATTTGTGAGTGTCAGAGAATGGAGAGCCGTCTGGACCAGGTGATTCGGGTCGTCGAAGAAATGTTTGGCTGTCGTTCTCGTCAGCGCATACAACAACCTCATGGCTTCATGATTTGCGAAATGCGGATGTGATGGAATCGAAACTGGAATTTGAAGAAAAGTGAGACATACTCTGCATGATGTAAAATGTGGAGCGAGACAATCACTAAATCCGGAGATGCGCCGTGATAAAGTGGAGAAAGTTGGGGAATATACAGATAGCCGACTCAAACAGATACAGAAATGTCGCTGGGACTACAGAGAGACAACCCCTCGTCGGTTTAAATAATCTGCTGGCAGCTCTCTCACGCGGATGAGTTCCAATCAGACAAATTCTGGGCGTTACTTCCCCTCAATACGCAGCCCGCGGGATGACTGGAAGCGACTGCGCCAGGGATTGCGACGGGGATCTTCAAAGTTGACGGTGCGACTTGGGGAATCGGTTTGCAGTCCGTGAGAGGCGGGGAAAATGTGGAGAATCCTGTGATCACGTCTCGACCTGTCATCTGTCAGTTGGATGCTCTCTTCGATAATAGACTAGACCATGCAGCCTGAGACATCTCGATTACGTCCATTCGCGATGAATTGAACCGGTTGAAATCACAATGGTAGGGGTGATGGTCGTCTGAAGGTGCACTCACTGGAATGTATTCGAGAATCTTTTTCAGATATACAATGCGTGTCCCAACGGAAATGTATATGGATGCTGTATACAGATGTAACAGTTCAAGAGACCAAAACCCATGATCGAGGAGAATAATTCGAGAGGGGAAGAGCACTATATATAATGATATCCATATTTGGAGTGCCGAACCTGTTCTCTTTTCCCGCCATTCTTGCTGTCCACATGAACAATTATTCTCCATAGTACTAGGGGTACTGTAAGGTACCACGGTTAGCCTTCCTCCATAGTTCCATACGTCCAGTGCACAGTGACAGTGCACCCCATTCATCGTGGGGTCTGGAGTCTGGACCAGAGGCAGCGGGGAGCTCTTCGGCTTACCCTCTAGGGTAATCCCGTTCTCTCCAGCAATAGTACATCAGCTTATTTAGCAATCTTATTATTGCATGACTGCCTCTCAATTAGCTAAACTAAGCTACTTAGCTATCTCGCTACGATGTCATAAATGTGTAACCATTGGCCAGGGTACATCTATCCAAACAGGTCTGAACCTGACATCGTGACATCAACCTCAGTAATATTGCCAAAGAAGAACAATACGATAACATTGTTGCAATAGCTTCTCGCTAACTGATGTTGTTCCCGCATCCAGAATCCAGAATTAAGATCCTGTGGCATTAAGCCTATTCTCTTTGCATAAGTCCTCAGAAGAGAAGGTGAGCCGGGCAACTTGACCGAACAGAGTATGCGTTTTGATACACGCAATACATATATCAAAGGTCATGGTCATGGTCATGAGACCTGAAGAAAAATGCGTTCATCTAGAGAGGTACGTACTACAATAGTAGCTCCCCTCTGTCAGATCCCTCGAATCCACAATTGCAACTATCATTACCGCATTGGGCATTCCTGACTACCTAGAACATTGACTAGGATGGACTCAACCACGTGAACTTTTTCCAGAGCATTAGTGCAAGACCGATAGATACCAGACCCATGGCTTTCACTTCTCGGTCGAGTACCACTACCACCTTAGTCTACAATGTGCACTCCTTACCTTTCAATGTAATGGAGCTACTGTCTTCCCACCAACTGGCAACTCCACTAATACTCTAGCCACCTCGGAAGCCTCCGAGGGCCCGATGCTCACTGCTCCTGTGGGGTCGGAGGTAATCCGGGTGTGTTCCAGACTTTCCCAGGCCTGGCATCCACGGTTTCTAGCCTAAGCTTTCGCAGCTTGAGAGCTACAGTACATAGTAGTTCGTAACTCTGGCAGAATACCATAATCATAAGTCAAAAAGGATTGTGAAGCATATCAGGCCAGAAAGGAATGTCATTGATGTAAGTTCATAAAGAGAGATTGAATGCTGAATAAAAATGGTAGCAGCTTCTCTAACAGCACAATGCAATTGCTCTTATGCGACATATTTGTACATATTG